ATATAATAACTCGGGCATTTTCAGAGCTATTCAGCTGAAATCTGGTATATTGGTAGCTGAGAGCAAACACAAACACATAGTACTGTAAAATAAACAATTGAAATTGGCAGCAGCCTGGCAGTCCCTGTCAAAGTTTCCACAGGAATTTTCGAGTATCTTCTTCTGCTATATTTTAATACCACATACTGTTTATTTCAAGGGCAGCACGGTGGCGCAACTGGTAGAGCTGCTGCCTCTCAGTGAGCAGGTCCCTGGTTCAAACCCCGGTCCAGGGGCCTTTCTGGGTGGAGTTTGCATGTTCTCTCCGTGCATGCGTGGGTTTTCTCCGGGTACTCCGGTTTCCTCCCACAGACCAAAAACATGCATGTTAGACTGATTGGTAACTCTAAATTGTCCCTAGGTGTGAGTGAGAGAGTGAATGGTTGTTTGTCTCTATGTGGCCCTGTGATGGACTTGCAACCCGTCCAGGGTGTACCCCGCCCCTTGCACAGTGATTGCTGGACATGGGCACCGTGACCCCCGTGACCCAAAATGGAATAAGCGGGTAAAGAAAATGGATGGATGGATGGATGGATGTTTATTTCAATTCTGAACTGATCAACTGTATTTCACCAAGCACCTAATGATATTTAATTTTTGATTTCTTCGCAAAGCTTGAAGCCACTTCAATATAAACAAATAAAAGCTCATCGTCTTTAGGGATTTAGTTTATTAGATTTTTTTGCAAAAAAAAAAAAAAAAAAAAAGAGATTGATCGTGCTACTTGAGGTTTTAAGTTAAATCCTTAAACAGTTATTTAAACATTTATCCCAACTCAAATTTGTGATCAGAACAGCTAAAAAAAGTGAGAAAAATGGAAATCTGATTACGGTAAATATTTTCTATGCCATAACTACAGTTTGTCTACATCAGTTTGTTCAAGGCCCCGTTTGCAAGACAGTTTTGTTTTTATTAAACTGTAGTATTTTGGTCACATGCAACAAAAGCGGCCATTTTACATTCAGTGAAATTGTTGTGTTGCATATCTTGACAAGTCGTTATTTGGATGCACAGGGGTGAAGCCGGCTATACATTTATATCAATTTGCATATTTATTTATGGGGAAGGAACAGAACCGAGCAAGTGGTGCATGCAGCGGCACTCTATTCTACATAAAATTAGATGCATGCACAGAGTTTCTTTTTATCCTTTTTGTGTGTGCACTTTTTAAAATTATGACTGTATGAAAGCTGCTCACTCTTTCACACATGAAGCCCCAGATATTTTTAAGTAAGCTGCATTAGGAATGCATTTTCAGTTAGTTATTAATTTTTAATCAGCCAAGGTACCAAAGAAGTTTAATTAAAAAAAGTTTTAATCAAGGTAACATAAGTATAAAATAGTGTTTTCTTTGTGTGTGTGAATTAAGGATTCAAGGCAGCCATTTCAGTTATTTTTAAGTAAAACCAACATATTAGATTTTACAGTCTACCATTAAGATTGAAAACCATCAGATCAAAATGCATTTTTAAAATAGCCTCGATTGTGATTTTAAATAAATTTCCTGCTCTTAATTGCCTTGCCATCATCTCCTGCTTCATTTCATTTATAGTTAAACGATTCCCATGAATACATTCAGGTAAATGTGAATGATTATAAGCTCAATTTATGAGCCTCATGGCAATCAGCTGTGTGTGCCCTTTTTTGGCTCTGCACAGTGAGATGGGAAAGCCAATGAAAAGGAATCAAAAATAATCTCCTGCACTCACAACAGGGCTCCTTTGATATTTTCACAGCCTGCAACTCTGCAGCATCTGAGCCGTGATCCACTTTCACTCATCGATTCTCCCGGTTTGGCTACAAACGCTTTTATCTAGCATACCAGACGTTTCAGATTTTGTCTTAATCTTAAAAATAATCGCGTTACGAGTCCTTATTCTCTCAATGACACGGATGGGAAAATAAATGAAGTCGGTGCACGCGTTGACCTCAGACGTAATAGTGGATACTTTAATGCTCTGCGTCTCATTAAATAAAACCAACTGCAGCGTTTCTAAATATTTGGCCACAAATTACAGGAATCAAAGCTGCAGCTTTTTATTTCCATAGCCTGTGGTTCCGTTTTTAGATTGTGTTTGTCTGTCATGTGCTATGAAGGATGTCTCCATCAGATTATCTCAGCAGATGATGCAAGTGGACCACCATGCTTGAAGCAAGCACAGCTCTGTGACTGCCTTTTCATGCTATCTGGAATATCAATCTTCAATGATGCAAAAAAAAACAAAAAAACACAGCAAAGTAAGAAGATAAATGAGGACCATACTGGATGATTTATCAGAACGCTGCCATTCTTATCAAAACCAATGAACCAGAACAGAGTTTAAGCTCATAGTTTCAACATTTCCTTATGATTTGCATATTGAGTATTGGAATTTGAATGGTTGTTCATTTGTGTCTGAACTGATTTGACTATAACCGATTCGCTTTTGGAATGAGTGCAATTCAAGATGGCTGCCACCTTCATCCAGCCATCCATCATCTTTACCTGCTTCTTCCTTTCTGGGTCACTGGTACCCATATCCAGCAGTCACTGTGTGAGAGGCAGGGGACACCCTGGACAGATCTTCAGTCCATCACAGGGACACAAAGACAAACAACCATTCACTCTCTCACTCACACCTAGAGACAGTTTAGAGTTACCAATCAACCTAACATGCATGTTTTTAGTCTGTGGGAGGAAACTGGAGTACCTGCAGAAAACCCACACATGCACAGGGAGAACATGCAAACTCTTTGCCACAACCAACTGATATTCAGGTCTCTCTCGTAAACGAGTCCCCGAGGCCCAATGGGACTAACCTGTATAAATAAAGGTTGAATGAATATTAAAAACACATACATGGCTAAAACAGAGTCAGTTTTATGCAACTCTAAAATGTCCAACTTCAAAATGACGTGTGAAATTTAGTGAGCCTGAGGATTAGATGTAGTATTTACCTCCGTTGTGTCGACAGCGACTCACGGTGTGTTTGTGTTTTTATGCAGGACGGTAATAAATTTGAGCTCAGCTGATAATACGACAAAAAAAACAGGATAAAACGTTTGATTTCCCAGGAAATGGTTGATGAGAATGACGTGTTGTCAACACACAAAAAAATCTACTCAAAATGTATTAATTCGTCAGACAAGTCAGTACGAAATGTGATGAAACGGGGATGCATTTATTACAGTGGGAGATTTCTGCCAGAGGCCACGAAAACAGGATCATACAGGGCAACAAACGAATATAAATGACCTTTATGCACATGTGGAGGCAGAAAGTGTGCATTTATTTTGCGTTTTCGTTCTAGAGGCTGATTGTTAAAAATGTATACACACACACACACACACACACACACAAAATTTTTCGAACAATAAGGCATGCTTAAAATCTTTGAATTTTCTCAAAAATCATCAGTGAGCCTTAAAATCTGGTTCACCTTATGTATTGGTGTGCTTACTGACCTCGAACAGATTTTATGTGGTACACGATGCTCAAAAATCTGGCAAAGTGTTTTCATTTCACTTAATGCGCCTTATAGTCCAAAAAATATGGTATATATTTTTATGTATTTAAGACCTTTCTTTATAGCCCTAACAGTCAGCTTTACTTCTCACTCAAAGCTGAAACAGCAGAAGATTTCTCAGCGTGTTGCACTTCCTGCTCAGAAGCTGCAGAATTTATTTCACTTCATGCCTCTGGTGTAAACATTCAACCTTAAGTGTAGTTACCACTCGCCAAAGATTTTAATTAGGAGGTTGTTGTTTTGTTTTTTTATGCACAAGGTTATGTTTTATGATCCATATTTAGATTTCATTCTGCATCTATAAATACACACAGTCTTGCCAAAACTTAGTTGGTGTCTCTTCATCCTAAAGTTGATAATGGGTTGAAATGTTTTTTTTTTTTTTGGTAACCAAAGAAAGAAAAATGCACTTCATTTGAACTCTTTGTGCTGAAACACACAAAAAAAAAAAAAAAAAAATCAACCCACGAGTTTTGAATTGCAACATGTTCATTTATTTGTTTGCCATTTGCTTCTATTTATAAAAAAAATAAATAAAAATAAAAATCATTCCTTCTGGAATTTGGTTATAAAATGTTTTAAAACTGCAAAATGTTTTAACTGCTAAAGCATGCTTGCGCTAGCCTAAATGATATATGGTCAAGCTGAGCACACAGTTACTGCTGCATGGCAACATTTCTGCCCAACGTGTGACTCAACCCCCCTCTGAATATGTTCCGTGTAAACAATGGAGCATCAGTGATCAATATTGTCACATTAACAATGGATGTCATGGGATCCCGTGAGCTGGATCACTTGAAATGACCAGTTTACTGAAAAATACAAGTCAATTATAGCTTTAAAAAAACCTCAGCAGTATGACGTATTTTAGATTTTGTACCAACAGTTTTACTCCTTCAGTCACGGTTTTTATTTTTAGCTAATGCTCCTCACATCACACCACTGACTGAATATTAGTGGCATCATCATCATCATCCAATATTGTTACAAGAAACCAAAATGTGGCCATGAGTGGAAAGAGAGTTTATTGGTTGTTGAGGTTTGTTTAGTCGTTTTGATCATATTAAAATGGCTTTTAAAATCAATTTGTATACATTTTGACGAGTGCTACTTGGAGTCTCATGTCTCTACTGGTGTAAATTTGTGAATCAGAAGCTAAAAAGTTTGGGATTTAATTATTTTTTTAACTAGAGAACAAGTTTTAAAAAAGGTTATGTCACAGTCAGCAGTAAATCATCAGTCTGAACTCTACACACTGCCAACTTTTGTTTATCAGATGTTAGATAGTAAACAAAGTGTTTTTTTCTTCATAGCGATTAACGTTAAAGCTTCAGGGGCCACAGTTTGTGTTCACCGGCATCACCCCTCATAACCTGACAAACAATTGTGATTCCAGGTGAATTTTCTTCCTTTATAGGAGGAACCTTGTACTAAATCAAATCCATTTTCTTCCAGGCAGGCCTCATCAGGACTGATAATGGAGAGTTTTTTATTGAACCCCTTGAGAAGGGTCAGCAGGATGCAGAAGCTAAGGGGCGAGTGCACATGGTGTACCGCAGATCAGCCATCAAGCTGGAGGCAGGCGAGCAGAGGAAGGAGGACTTCCACAACGAAGGTGGGTGAAGAGACGGAGTCTATGAGTGAAAACAAAAAGCAGGTGTGGGTTTCAGTTTTGTAACCATCTGCAGAGAGAGGAGAATATATAAAAGACCAGAAAGTTCCTGGAGAAAACTTTGCCACGTTGCGGCCATTCTAACATTTTGATTTGACAGTAGGGGTTTGCTCTCAGCTACCACCATACCAAAATAATAAATAATTAAAATATGAGTTAGTCATTTATTCATTTTAAGTTATGGTAGCCATCTTGGATTTTTGATATGGATTCAGTAAGTGATGGGGAGGGTTCTCCGCTATAACCTCCAAATTTCCAGCTCTATATGTGTAAAAATAGTTGAGTTAAAGCTATTTAAGTTTTGCTTTGGTGGCCATCTTGAATTTTTTTTTATTTGAATTCAGTATTTAGCGAGCATTGTTCTCATCCACCACCACACCAAATTTTAGCTTAATGCATCTAAAATTGGCAGATTTTTAGCTTTTTTTTTTCTTTTATTAACTCAGGCAGCCATCTTGGATTTTTGATTTGCAGTGATCTATTATGGATTGTTCGCAGCTACCAGTACATCAAATTTCAGCTAAGTAGCTCTAAAAACCTTTGAGTTATATCCATTGAAATTGGCTTCAGTGGCCATCTTGCATTTTTAGATTTGAATTCAGAATATGTTCATCCTTGCCAGCTACCACCACCACCCCAAATTTCAGCTCAATATCTTTTAAAATAGTGGAGTTATCGTATTTTCCCCACTTTAAGCCAAGGTGGCCATCTTGGATTTTTGATTTGCGTTAGGAATATATAAAAACTCAAAAGCATTTGCAGCAGTACAATAAAATGTCTTAGGCAGTGGTTAAAAATGAAACATTTCTAATTTCCTTCACTTTCAAAACAATGTTTTTTCTTTTAATATGGCCGTCTTTTCTTAATTTTAATGCTTTACATATTAAAGTGTCTCTTGACCATAATTACGAGTGGTGTTTTACTCTTAATGGTGTGAGAATAAATTGTCCTTGCAAAGTGGAAGATGGTTCGTTTCACTTTTATCTGGGAAATAGTGATTTTTTTTTTTTAATGCAGCTGCAAACAGAGGGTACAGACAAACATGGGGTTTCCTGCTGAAGTCTTTGTTCCCTAAAACATTCTCGCGCACGTCAGGACCAAAGACCAGACAAGAACTCTGCTAAGATCAGTCTTCTGCCGCCAGAACTGTTCAGCAGCACCACGATTTATTGACACGCTGCAGTTTTGCTTTCTTCCACTTCTTTTGATAATGTAAATGCAAAAATCACAATACAGTTTACTGTACATTTAAGTTAATAGGATAGTTTACTACAAAAATAATCTCATGGCAAATCTAAAATTATTTCATTATGCAGGTCTTGGAAATCAGTCTTTTGGAATATTACATATTATTTGAGTTTATAGTCTGTAATCTCACTCCGTCCTGCCTTCTCAATCCCAAATATACTGGAGACATGCACTGTGTTCAACAACACATAGCATCAGCAGCCAAAGAGCTGAAACATGCCAATTAAACTCTTATGGACATGACATGAAGCTTATTACGGTTTACGGATTAGATATATTCTGATGCAAGTCTCCCTTGAAAATGAGTGATTCAGTGAGACTACTTGTATTAATAGAGATTAAAAAAATAAATAAATTAAAAAAAGAAGGCTCAATAATCCAAGTAGGTATAACAAGTTTCAGTCAGTTCCTTTGGACAGATTCTTTACTAAAACATTGTCTTTTATAAACATTTTGTCCATTTTTAGTCTTCTGGATAAAAGACGAAACATTTCAACAAAGAAGACTCCGTCCAGAGGACCGGACTCAACTTTGTTATATTCAAGAAATAATTAAATGAAGGGACATTTGATCATTTTCCATCCAGCGTCCTGGTAAAATCTCCAGATGTTTAATATGGGGAGATGACAGCATGAGAACAGAGCAGCAACAGTTTTTTTTGTTACGTTCTCATTCTTTAATATTGTGATGCATTAAAATCTCTATTCTCATCACAAACACATTTACTGGAGATATAATTACATACATATTCAGTGAATTTGTTTTGTCTATACACCCTTTTCTCCGTGTAAGGAAATATCACTTTTGTCAAAACTTTGCAAACATTTTCTCCTGAATGAAGAAAAGGTTGCATTTGTGTAGCAATTTAATTTTATACTTTAGCTGTGAATGCATACGATTTAACTTAATTTGAAATGGAAAAAAATAACGGCAGCAACAACAACATTTAAATAGTGCATTTGTTTATTTGAAATAAAATACATTTGAGAATTTGACAGAAGATATTTGGTAATGCTTGGCAACAACTTTACTGAATGTATGCCTAAAAATATCTTGTTGATGTTTAGTGTGAGTGAGCTGGTAGTCATACATACATTATGGGTATTTTACATAAAAGCAAAAATTTATTGATTTTGCAGACACCAAACAATTAGTATGTCTTAAGACAATCAAAACAGAGTAAACAACCCTGGAGTAAGTCTCAAATATCCCACCTTTATCTTGCTTTCCATGACAGAGTTGTTTGTGTCAGACCTGATGAATATAGAAATCCCTTTACTGAAGCAGGAGTAAGAGGATGTACAGACGGAGCAGATTCCAGCTGTCCACTGACCGATTTCATGTCCTGCTCGTATCTTGCAGTGGCAGATATTGGAATCACGAACCTCCCCTCCGCTTTAGATCTTGTCAAACACAAACTGTCCGAGTCCGAGCGGAAGAGGAGGCACGCAAAGAAGGACTACAACATCGAGGTGCTGCTGGCTGTGGACGACTCAGTGGTGCGCTTTCACGGCAAGGAGCTTGTGCAAAACTACGTTCTCACCCTGATGAACATAGTAAGTTTTCTTCTGGTTAAATGCCTTGTAGAGTCCTTCACCACATTTTGTTGATGTTGCAGATTGCCAGCAGAAATTATTAAGTGATGAAAACGACAACTACCTAAAGTTAAAAAAGGAAGTACCTTTAAATGTCTTGTTTGCACAATGATCAGATTTACCAGACATGTAGACAAGGGAATAAAAGTGGAAGTTGGATCATTTAAAAAAGGAGAATAAAAAAAAACACAATTACTAGGAAACATACTATGCATAGGAAAAAAAAAAAAAAAAAAAAAAAAAAAGAGTCCTCAAAGTCATTGAAGTATATAAAACTATGCCTATGCAAGATTGACTGCTGCTCTGATTTTCTGCTAGTCCCACTTCATGACTATGTCCAATTGATTAGTTGGCTGATTATTGGTTAACGTGGGTCCCACTTATAAAGCACTAGATGCCAAATGCATCCCTGAGCAGAATGGTGTTACGTGTGACACTATGCCTTCATTTTATTTTTTACAATGTGTCAGTTTGTTGATGAACCCATCTGCATGAGCAAGCTCAAAACTAACAAATCAGCCACGATTTTTGATAATCATCTTTGAAGACTCTTTAGATGACCTCTAAATTGTGCATGTTTCTACGTTTGAAATGGCTTTGAAACAATTGGTACCGTATTTTCCGGCATACACGTCACTCCGCCCTATAAAAGTCGCATCAGTCCAAATACAGTATGTCAATAAAGTAGAAAAATTCATAAATCTGTTGCGTCGCCATATAGGTTGCATCTATTAAGAGCTGACGGCGTCGCGTTTGTTACGCGTCACCGCTGACAACCTGGAAATGTGGGCCCATGTGCCAAAAATTTATGAACTGCCAAATGGTGGCCGCATGCACGGGGAGGACTTTACACAAGATTAACACATGAGAATTATTTGTTTGGGGCAGCACGGTGGTGCAACTGGTAGAGCTGCTGCCTCTCAGCGAGCAGGTCCCTGGTTCAAACCCCGGTCCAGGGGCCTTTCTGGGTGGAGTTTGCATGTTCTCTCCGTGCATGCGTGGGTTTTCTCTGGGTGCTCCGGTTTCCTCCCACAGACCAAAAACATGCATGTTAGGCTGATTGGTAACTCTAAATTGTCCCTAGGTGTGAATGAGAAAGTGAATGGTTGTTTGTCTCGTTTGTCTCTATGTGGCCCTGTGATGGACTTGCGACCCGTCCAGGGTGTACCCCGCCCCTCGCACAGTGATTGCTGGACATCACCGGCGACCCCCGTGACCCACAAATGGAATAAGCGGGTAAAGAAAATGGATGGAATTTTGTTTGCTCAAAATTATAGTAAAAAAAAAAAAAAAAAAAAAAAAAAAAAAAAAGGTGTGTGTCTCGGTCTACTTTTCGCTTAAATGCATTTTGACGGTCAAATCAGCTGCATTTAACCGGGGCGACGCAGTGAAATGAAGCTGATTCAGTTGTTCCAGGCAGATGACGGTGGCAGGCTCTGGCAAGCCGATTGTGTCATTAATAGCCACTTTTACCTATTACATGATACAACGGCATGACCTACTGCTCGACTGCCATCTAGTGCCTGAAAATGTTAGGGTTCAATTTTTTTCAGTCAGAATGAATGAAAAAAAAAACAACACCTTAAAGGCCGAAAATACAGCAACTGATAACTACTACATCACATTTACAGTAGTAACGTGAAGGCATAAAAGTCACTACTTGCTAAATTTAACTGTGCCAACAAACGGCCGAAGGGTTCCAACGCTGTGGCAGCCCAGAACCTGTAAGGAAAACTTACAGTAAAAATGCATCAGTAGCAGTAAGCAGTCAACTGCACCACAGGGGGAAAAATAAATAATGTCCAGCCATCACTGTGCGAGAGGCGGGGTACATCCTGGACAGGTTGCAAGTCCATCACAGAATTTTGGATCATTAATTTAGCAATAATCCTGATAATGACGCCAGTGCAAATGTTGGAAAGATGATAACAGACAGATGGTGCCATGAACGTTTGTGATTTGCTGTGACCAATTCCAAAAGTGACATTACCAATGTTCTGGTAGCTCTACATGCAGTCTTCTCCAGCTTGTAAGTTCTGCTGAATCTCCTCATATTTAGGTATTCTGATCTTCCAGTGGACATTGACATCAGTCTTGGCCACACTTTCTTTGTTGATGGATTACAGATGAGAAAAAAAAAAAAGGGGGTGGGGGGGGGGTAGAAGAAGCTCAGCTCATTCTTTGTAGGTTCCACCAGCTCCTACCACCATAATCTACTTACTGAGCCCAAATCCTTCAAGTCAGATTTTCACAAAGAGCTGGTTTCACTCTGTAACAGTTACCATTTGGAGCCGGCATGGCAGCCTGATTAGCTGCATTAGACCACTTAGAAAGTTGAGTGGGAGCTGTGCATGGAAGCCATGGGAAACGATGCCAGAAGGTTGCTAGCACTGCCAAGACTTTATTACGTAGAATGATGCGTTTATTTAATTAGGAGTATGTAGTCTGGTCTGAAATGTCTTTAACAGGAAAATAAAAGTCTGCTTTTTTCCCCTCTCGTATTATGAAGTGGCTAGAGGTACTCAAGAGTCTTTGGTGTCTAATGTGTTCATGACTTAATAGTGTTTAAATAGTTATCCAAACTGACTTGTGGTGCCAGTGATATTGAAGTTGTTTAAACTTCTCTTCAAACTGGGTAAAAGTTTAGAAGAATCTTTAAGAATAGAGCAGTTGAAACAAATAGGGGTCAAACCCCTTTAGCTGTGCTCATAAGCTGCGAGGCTTGCTGTGTCTGAAAGAGCTCTGCCCGCTCAAATCCCTTTGAATCCCTGCTCCATGGCTGCAGAATGCATAGTACCACCTGGAGAAACTCTCCCTGGGGGATTGATTACTGAACATCCTGTCTGCACAAAGCCAAGGTGACTGGTGAGGTCTCTGCGGCACAATGGCTGCGTTGTTTGACCGGAGGACAAGGTTTTGTCCGTGTCAATGGGATGCTGTACGCAAGCCAGGGACACCAAACGCCTGCAGACCACAGCTGCTAGTCTCATTTTCAGTTCCAGTTCAGTCCTCTTGGGCTCCTCCTGCTTTTGTAATCATCTCATCGGGTTGGCCCACTCTTCATCTGGACTCAACAAAAAGTTGGGGATGCATGGACCCGAGTCCTGAGGAAAACTATTCACCAAAATATTTGCGAATACAACTTTCATGACGTTATTTTTAATGTCCTCTTTTTCGAACTCTACTTTAAAGGTCCAGTTCAAACACACGTGCATAAAGTCAGTCTTGGCCCAGAAAGGTATTTGAGCTACAAATCTGGGCAAACGTGGGGTCACCCACAGGTTCTTTACAGCATTTGTTGACATGAGTGGGTCTTTGTAGGTGGAATATTTGCTTAAATGCTTTGGGTGTAACTTGCTTCACAGAGTAAATTTAGCAAAGAAAGGTTTTCTTTTAGGGATAGAACTTTTGTTGTATGTAGTCTTTTTTTTTTTTAAATCCAAGAAAAAAAAAATTATAGGTGAATGGCATACAAGTCTTGTATTTGCTGGTGTTTTAGGATAAACTATGTCCTTTATAAGCTCTTGCACTCGCTCCTGTAATTTTCATGAATTTCTTGCCAAAAAAAAAAAAAAAAAAAAGTTCCTATAGAAATTCTCTTGATTTGCATGGAACAAAAAAATCAGTTTGTCTCCCCTCTAATTTGATTTGGTATTTTGTGCAAGATGCATTTTTAACCAAAAGATACAAATGATCTTTTCCATAAGAAATGTGTTTTTCTAAACGGCAGATCTGCAGCAGCAGTAATGAAATCAATGGACTTCACTTGGGGGCCTGGTGTCCCTCGTTAACCAGACGACCTTTATTAGAAAAGTGCTGTGTGTTAATAAGGGGCAGGACCTGGCTGAGAGGCAATCAGCTGAATAGTGATACATGCAAATCAGTTCAAGCCTTCATAAGCTCCAGGCCATATGTACATATGAAAGACTAAAATATATGATTTCATGCTTGGTGTTTGCAATGCATAAAGCATTTATTGAGATAAAGACTTTGTCGGCTTTTCCTCCTTCAGGGGTTGCCACAGTGAATCATCCTTCACCATCTCACGCTGTCCTCACTCCAACTCCCTCCATGTCCTCTCTAAATGCATCCTCTTTGGCCTTCCTCTTGTTTTTTTCCTGGCAGCTGCATCTCCATCATCCTTCTACCAATATACCCACTGTCTCTCCTCTGGACATGTCCAAACCATCTCAGTTTGGTCTCTCTAACTTTATCTCCCAGTTGTTCAACCTGTGCTGTACCTCTGATGATCTCATTCCTAATCTTATCTATCCTTGTCACTCCTAAGGAGAACCTCAACACCTTCATTTCTGCCACTTCCAGTTCTTTCTCCTGTCTTTTTGTCCAAGTCTCTGTCTCCAGACCATGCAACACAGCTGGTCTCACCACTGTCTTGTAAACTTCTCCTTTGACGACAAACTTTATGGAACAAAATCACTCCTGAAAGGTTTCTTCATCCAGTCTTAAATTAAATTTGACATTTGAGGAGGGCCAGATAAATGAACACCCTTGATAATGGTTCTGACATGCAATAAGGGTTGCAAGACTATTGTTCAGGAAATAAAAAATAAAATAAGATGTCAATTATTTCTGTGAGGAGCTACTAATCTGGAATATATATTTTTGAATTTGGGGTTTCTAACATATTGTAAGAACGTATTTGCAAATTAAAGATGAAAAACAAAATAAACTCTTAATGCATAAGAAATGTGATTCTAAAGAAGCCAACATGCAGAAATGGAAAAAGAAATAAAAGTGGGAAAATGCTATCAGGGCCAGAAAACTGTTACATTACTTTTTGTAAATACCTCAGTACAGTTTCATAGTAAGGATTTTGCTGGTATTCATTGCTTTACTACATAATTTCATTTGCCAGTTTTATATTTGAAAACTGTAAAAAATAATAAAAAAGGTTTCCCCTTTTGGTCTGAAATGACTGAATGGTAGCTAGTATAATAGTGGTTGTGGACCCAAGATTGTTGACAGATAGACAATTCTCCCAAAGGTTTTAATAAAATGAAATATCAAACCAGCACGCACTCCAAAAACTACAACTAAACACATTCAAGACTAGACAATATAACACAGAAGGACCTGACAAGGAGCGAGAGACAACAGGAAGCTTATATCTGCTAGGAGGGGTGATTAGTGAGTGAGAACAGGTGTACTGATGACTGATGAGACACAGGTGTGTAAGGTGCTGAGCAACAAGAAGAGCAGAGAAAAGTTCGGAAGCACAATGAAATATAAAGAACTACAAAATACTTCTACGTAAAAGTGGTGGACGTGCTGGTTTTTACAGCTACCAGTTTAAAACTAATTTCTTCCACTTTTAAACTTCTGTCTAATAAATGATTGGCTTTAGACGCCACAAAAACTGATTAAAGTTCAAATTATTTTACTATCCGCAGGCTGTTGTAATTGTTCCACACGTCCAACAAACACATGTTGCAATCTCACGATTTGTGTTTATGACCATAAACTGCAGCAACATGACGGACACATTTAAACGGTTTTCCTTGTTTCTATTGAGACTAAATTCTGTTTATCAGCAGACTCCATGGTGTGTTTTTGAAAGCAGCCTTTTTGACAATGATTTCAGCTCTTAAAGACTTTGCCAGAATGTTATCATCGTGGAGCAGCATTTACTTCATTTTGAATACACTGCTGCGATTTTCAATTACAAAGTTAAACAATTCATAGTTTTATGAACACCCACTCTGACTCTTGTGGATTATTTCAATAAAGTGTCCAATTAACATCTACAGAGAGCTAATCAGCAATAAATGTGAAACTTTCTGAAATACCAGATGTCATTTAGGTGAAAAGTTGTTTTTTATTCTATTTTTATCTGTTCATTCAAGGTGTTTTTCAAATCACAAAATTTTTTCCAGCAGCTGCTGACTCTGACCAATTTAACTGTTTTTATTGCTTATTTTAGGTGAAATTTTCAGTGCTAACAATCTGAAGGAACAAAGTTTGTTCTTAAACCTGCCTCCTCAAGCTGTGAGCTTAGTGCGAGATCAAATAAACTTTGAAGCGGATGCAACTAGAATAACAAGCTGATATAACAGGGTCTGGGCAAGGTGCCTGCCGGGATAAATTCTCATTGTGAACTTCTATTAAACTGAAAAGTTAAGAAATATTTATGATTTTGGTGGCCTGTTTGGAGCTGCAGGAGCAGCTTGTCTGACATTCTTTTCTATTAAAAACATTACTGGACAAATTACGAGGAGGACGATGATGTAATATGTTCTTATGTTGCCGTGAAGTACTCTGGAAGCTTGTAAATCTAAGTTTATCACAGGCAGCCCCACATGCTTCAAAATGGGTTGAAGGTGAAAGGGTGACGCTAATGTTACTCCTGTTTATTGCGATTCAAATCTTTTATTATACTAAATGTGTAATTATTTTTATATGTACCTTGTATTCTTTGCTGAAGTCCATAAATCAGCTGAACAGAGTTGCAGCAGATTTGCTTTAAGGGGCTCAGAATGAGCGAAAATGTGCAGCAACCAGTTTGTAAAAAGGCATTACACTTAAATGGAAAATAAACTTGGGATTTAAACAGGAGTCTGGCTTGAACCTAGGCCGGTCACAATAACAAATTTTGCTGGGTGATTAATTATCTCAGAAATTATTGCGATAAATGATGATAATATTGTTTGAAATTTGACAATAATTAGTAAATATTGTCAAATATAAGGAAAATTGTTTGTTAATTTGTTTGGCGTGTACAGTAGTACCTTTTTTTTTCCAACCACCGGAAGACAATATAAGATTGAACCAAAGGATGGATAGTAAGGGCGCGAGCAGCGTGTCTCAAAGAAAAATGTGAGGGAGGCCCCTTGACGTGACATGTGCTGTCTCTCTTCAGTTCTCAAAATGGCGGACACTCTGTGTGGTTTGAGCTATTTAGCATAGCATTTTTCACACAAAGCTTTTAATTAAAAAAAAAAAAAAAATCAGTAAACAAGTTCTCAGCTTCTTTTTGCAGAGAAAAACAACTTTTTAGACGAAGGCACGGGTTTGAACCGTGAATTTTGGAGCTTTGACAAGACGGAGGTTTTTCACCGAGGTCGGCCTGTTAGCTTAGCTTCTCAGCTTAGCTGCTTTTAACGATCCAAAAACAAGATTTTGGACGGTTAAAAACGATTTTAAAGAGAAAGTGAGGGGTCAGTGAAGAACACCGGAGTTGATCCTTTTGTCATCCAGTGTCTTCAGTAGAAAGAGAGAGACAAAGAAATGATAAAGCTGATAAATAAAAATGAGGTCGATAATTTTAATTTATCATGCGATTAATTGATTAATTGATTTATTGTTTATTGCGACGGTCCTACTTGAACCATTGTTATTTTGCTAGCTTCATAAAGTCGAAAAGCAGTGGACACATTTCACAAAATATTTCATCTCCATTCATATTTTTACCTTAGAAGTATAAAAGTAGTTCATTAAATTATCTGTTGGGCACTGCAGAGCAGAAATAAAAGCATGAATAGCAAATGTTTACCTCATCAGATTTCAGATAAGACAGAGTGATTTCAACAAATAGAAGATATATTAGCTGCATATGGCGTTAGCCTTTGGAGAAGGGATATTCAACTGGTGGCCCGCGAGCCACTTCCGGCCTGCAGATGACTTCAGTCTGGCCCACCAATGAATTCATAAAAAAATAAAATAAATAATAATAATAATAATAATACAATTATTTTATCTTATTTTATGTTTTTATTTATTTATTTTGAGTATGGATGAACCGCACGATCGGCATGGAATTTTTATTTAAAATGAATTATTTTAAAATTATTTAGCACCTGCTGCACAGGTGCCCAGGTCTGTGTGCAGCCCACAGCTGCAGAAAAAGCTTCCTCCTGCACCTTTGTGCAGCCCTTACTGCATGATAAACTTCCTGCTGCAGCTGATCAGCTGTTCTCCATGCAGAGCGGAGAAGTGGGCGTGACCAAGAGCGCTTGCAGATGACAAAGAGCAGAGGAGGCAGGGAGCTGAAATCATGAGTTTAGAGTTTAGAAATACATTGTTTAGAATATTGCAAGAGTGTGGGGAAGGTTTAAAACACTTGTTTGGACCATGGACGGCCCAAATGGGTCTTCAAAATTCTGAAAAAACGTCCAGCTGGCAGTCACTAAAACAGATTCATTCCCTTCAGGTTTGAAGGGACACTGATAAAGTTGATCATCTTGTATGTCAATACCACTTCATATATTTTTTTTAAATGTCCAATTTCTCCCCATCAGTTATTTAATCAACCAAAATAATGTTCTTTGAAACACTTGTTATATTTAGCAAACTTTTATGAATTATTATCCAAAATTCTACTTTTTGGTAGATCAGTGAAGGTTTATTGTAGGGTAAAGGAATTAATTATAGCTAAATATTTGTATTGTGCTTAATATCGCTCATTTTGAGAAGATTTTTGTAATATGTTTTGCTGTTAAACCTACAAATGTTAAAAGTATCACCGTTAAATCTAAACGAGGTCTACATCTGCATCAACCTCTTAAGCCTTTGGGTCAAAATTATAACATTCTTTAATTGCAGTCGTGGGCCAAACAAAATCACTCCAAGGGCCACAAATGGCCCACGGGCCACACTTTGGACACCCCTGCTTTAGAGTATGTTTATAATCTACTGACATTTAGTGACTCAAATAGCTAATTGCAACCAATTAAATAATCCCAATGTCAATGGTTGCCCCAAGTCTTACTTTTATCCCATGAAAACGGTTATAAGTTAAGCTTAAGACATTCTTGACGTCGCCCACCACTTTTCATGCCAACATTTTAGACTAAGACAAACGTATGTTTAGAAAAGACAAAACTGAAGCTGTTTTGTTCAAAGCTTAAAATGAAACGTGCAATACTCCAATATTTTGTGTGATCTTGCAAGCTCTGTCATCTACCACTACACCAGACTTTAGCTTAATATCTGTAATACTGACTGAAATGTAGCCATTTATGTGTTTTCATTGAGTTTAGTAGCTAGATTGAAATCGTTTGTCTTCAGAAGTTACTCAGTTATGGTTGTGCAACAAATGATGATATGATGAGTTACTTTGCTGAGGGAGTTGACTCCAAACAGGTAATGGCAAATATTAGAAACTAATATTTTGTGCAGTTTGTTAGCACCCAGCCTCAGTTACTACCAAACACCTGACAAGATTTTTGTGCTTTTCAAGGCTCATTGTTTATGGCAGCCATTCTGAATTGGATTGACTCCAAAAGATAATCAGTTGTAAATGTTCATCCAGCGATTATTTTCTTTCCTATTAAGTTTCATTAAAATCCAGTGGTTTGTGACAAACTTCATTATGGTAACAATATTGTTTCTGCAGAAAGACTGCCTTAAAATACTGAAGCTTCTACTTGTAATAGCTGTATCTACTCTGTAGCCAACTTGGTGACCATGAAACAGAGGCCTCAGCTTTACATATTTTACTCCACAATTAGAGTCCTTACAGATTGTTTGTACACACTGTGTAGTGAATTGACTTTAATAAGCCTAATTGCATCCCTTGGAGATTTAAGAAGAACCCAATGATCCTTGATTTTTGGGTTTTAAAGCCTGTTTAAAACCCTGCCCACACAAATTTTAGGTTTTCAAGCTGAGTAACAACTATTTACGTTTCCTCCCACAGACTGTATGTTTGTAGTAACACTCTGCCTCGAGGACAGCCATGTCTGCTCTTTATCAAACCACTTTTTTATGAAGATCATGGTTTCATTTTAGTGACATTTTGTTTCTTTTTTTAAGGTTGATGAAATCTACCATGATGAATCGTTGGGAACCAACATCAACATCGTCCTCGTCCGGATGATAATGGTCGGGTATCGCCAGGTGAGCCAAGGCACATGCGCATGTTCATCTTTGCAAATCCAGTGTCTTTGTTTGGGTATGAGCACTGAGATAGACAGGACTGGTCTAAACCCCATGAATACTGCTGCTGCTGCCCAGAAATAATTTTATGTTCCGTTCAGTTTTGATTGGACTTGAAACAAGACGGGCCGACTGAGCTCACCGACGTGAAACTTTAAAAAGAAAATGATGCAATGGAACGTCCAGACACTTCGTCATCGTCTTCAGAAACTCCTGAATAAGGTCCCAAGTCTTGTTATAGCCATTCAAAACTTGAATATATACAACTCCACCCAAACAAGTCTAATCCGTGTTGTCTTTGTACATATTGAACACATAAAATGTAGCATATTTATTACTGGGCACATGAGGTGCAGGTGGTGTCAACTTTTTGTAATGCTTTATCATATTTGCATGTATTATTAGCAGTATGGATATTTCTAGTCACTTTAAAATAATTTTAAGAATAAGTTCGTCAAGTTTATTGTCATTCATTCCAACTTTCTTTAGACAGGTTAATCCCATTGAGACTCGAGGACTCATTTACAAGAGAGACCTGCTTTTAACAAAGAGTGATGACAACAGTGGACAACAGCGACAAAAATAAGCAATCATACTTTGTAAAAGAGGCATACAAATTTAATTTAATTTATTTATTACAAATCAAAAACAAAATAGCAACCAAAAGGACAGTCAAAAGGAAAAGTAGCAAGAAAAAAAACAAAACAAAACAAAAAAAGGCTAGATAATAAGGCAGTGTAAAAAATGAAAAACAGGAACATGTCTGCATTGGTTCTTGCCAGGAACTTAGCAGATGTTTGAAGCCACTTAGAGAGGTCAAGGTCAAGAGCTTCAGATCTATTTGCAAGATATTCCAGGAAACAGGAGTGAAGTAGGAGAAGGCCCTTTTGTCTATATCAATCATCACTGAGGGAACACTGCAGGTAATAATGTCCTGAGAACGCACGTTGTAGCTGCACTCACGCAGAGACATGTAGGAGGAGATGTATGAAGGCAGCAGACCAAGAAGTGATTTAAAGATGAAAATATACCAGTGAGAGAGTCTGCATCAAGTTAAAGATGACCAATTAACCAGTGAATACAGGGTGCAGTGGTGGGTACGGTAGTTACAGCCAGTTATGAATCTTAGTGCACCGTGATAGACAGCAGACAACATCTGCAGGATTCTTGTAGGAGCGTTCATGTAAATAATATCACTGTAGTCAATGGATGGAAGGAAAGTCACAGTTACAAGGTGTTTCCTAGCATTCAGAGTTAGACAGGATCTATTTCTGAAAAAAAAAAAAAAAAAAAAACAGTTTAACTTTTAGATTCCTTACTAGGTTTTCCACGTGGAGCTTAAAAGAGAGATGCGAGTTGACCAAGATACCCAAATATTTATAGGAATCAGCAAACTCAATAGGGACACCATTTGAGGATAAAATCAGAGGAAGAACTGCCGGGAACAACTTCCTGTTTGAAAAAAAGCATCCCTTTGGTTTTATCAGCATTTAGGACAAGTTTGAGGTAGAACAAATCAGACTGGATGATGAATGATATCATTTGCATTACATGTGGTACATGAAGTGGAATGAAGTTGTGTACTCAAGGTCCCAATTACACCCACAAATAGCAAAAATAATGTAGTATAAAAGTATACTAGTATATAAAGTAACAGTTAATAAGGATCTAAGATATACACCCAGATATATGCTAAACGAACTCCAAACTAAAAGATATACGCTAAACACTAACAATGTAAATACAAAGTAATACGGTGTATCAACAGCAGCCTGAACATGAGTCTGTGGTGAGCAGATGGGTATGACCAGCAGATCAGCAGCATGGATTATCAGTAGCACATATCACCGATCAAAGTGGCATTACATAGATTTTTTTTCACAGTGATAATCCTGATGAGGGATTCATGAGTCTAACAGCTTCAGGGTAGAAGCTGTTCCTCAGTCTAGTGGTTCTACACTTAATGTTCCTCAACCTTCTGCCTGAGTGGAGCGGGGCAAAAAGTGTGTGTGCTGGGTGAGTGGGGTCCTTCAAATAAGGCATAGAAAGAAAGAAAGGCTCTATGTTTAGATGCATTTAAGTCACCCGTGTGACAGCTTAACATCATATAAACCAAAACTATTCATTGTGTTACACTGCATTTTTGAGAAAGATTTGTTTTTGGTCATTTATACAAATAACAAAAAATCCAAGGCTACCACAGTTTTTGAGCTGGAAAAACAAGAAAATCGGAAACAGACTTAACGCAAGTTACTTCACCATGTACGGTAATAGTCACAATCCTAAAAGACAGACATGAAAAGGAAAAATTATCCTCAAGAGTTCATTAAAACTCTTGCATGCGTTGCAATATAGACCCAGAAGCGTTAAAGCAACAACAATAATAAATAAAAAAAACCTTCACAAACTCCATGTCAGGTTGAGCGTTCATCATATCCACATGTGCTTCAGATGGCAATTTGCAGTTTAAAATCACAAACCAGAGGACAAGTTTAAGTTGCTAATGTTTACTGAGAAGAGTCGTCTGGTTTTCTTTTATCCAAGTGTCTCTTAGCAACACGTGAACGGCGGTGGGAAAACAGAAACTCAAAGGGTTTGAGTCACTTATGGATCCTGTTATCATTTGTCAGGTACCGTTACGTGAACCTCAGAATGTGCGATCTATCTGCAACCTTCCCCGAGAATTAAATCCACAACTTATTTCCTTTCATACATTTCAAAGTGAGAGGACGTTCACATCACATAAAGGTGAAATGTCAGTGAGTCCTTTTCCACCTGAAGAAGATGGGAGACCTGTGGAGGGGGTTGACAAGGATAAATATTACATTTTCGTTCACAGTTTGCTGTTTTTCTTCTTCTCGTTGTTACTGTGCAGTCTATAAGCCTGATCGAGCGTGGCAACCCATCTCGCAGCCTGGAGCAGGTGTGCCGATGGGCCAACACGCAGCAGCGCCACGACCCGGACCACGCCGAGTACCACGACCACGCCATCTTCCTCACAAGGCAAGATTTTGGTCCCGCAGGTATGCAAGGTACTGTATTTTTCTCGATCGAGGCCTGTGCAGACTGAGTGCTGATTTCTGCTTAAATTCACAAAGGGGTTGGCTTCAACTCTTGCCCAGGTAAGGTCAATGGAAACTGAGGCTACAGACTGAACTTCTGCTCCCACAGGAAAACATTTAGAGCTTTCCAGAACCTTGCTGACTTGACGTTGATGCCACCCTAGATTGATCTATTGATGAAGGAAGTTTTTGGCATGTAGAGAAAAAACAGAAATGTTGCCTAATTTATCTTAAAAATAGTTTGTCGAAATTCTGAAGTTCTGTGTGTGCTTTTCTAGCTTATTGTGAATGTTACAATGCTGTGAAATAAATACAGATTTATATTATTTTTACAGTTTTTCCTCATGCTTTAATGTTTCAGATCAGCAAATATTTTATTATCAGACAAAATAACATCTGAGTAAATATAAAATGCAGTTTCCGAAGTACAAGAGGAAAGCTATCCCCACTATGAAAATTTAATTGTCCCTTTTGTCAAATTGTGAATAAACTGATTATTTTGGGGACACTTGGTTCAGTTTCACCAGCCACACCCAGACCTGATTATTGCTACAACGTAAAAGCCGTTATCCACAAAAGAAGAAAATGTGGAACAGTGGTGAACCTTCACAGGAGTTGCCAGACAACCAAAATTACTCCGAGCACACGATGACAACTCAACCGAGGTCCCAAAAGAATGCAGAACAATATCTAAAGCTCTGCAAGCCTCGCTTGTCTCACTTAAAGTCTGAGGTCACGATTCAGCAATATGACTTCTTCTTCTTTTGGCTTTACCCTCTTGGGGTTGCCACAGTGAGTCAACCGCCTCCATCTCTGTCCTCACTCCAACTACCTCCATGTCCTCTCTAACTGCATCCATATGGCTCCTCTTTGTCTTTTTCCTGGCAGCTGCATTTCTAACATCCTTCTACCAATATACCCACTGTCCCTCCTCTGGACATGTCCAAACCAACTCAGTCTGGCCTCTCTAACTTTGAGAGAGTCATTCAGCAATATGACTCTAGCAAAAAATAAATCTGTTATCTTGATGGGATTTGTCTTATTAAATAAAGGTTAATAGTTAAAAGAGCAAAAAAGCATCCATGGTAAATGGACTGCGCTTATATCAGGTCTCTCTTGTAAATGAGTCCTCGAGGCTCAATGGGATTAACCTGTGTAAATAAAGGTTGAATGAATATAGCACTTTTCTATCTTATCAAGATACTTAAAGTGCTTTACAACACAATTTGTACCCTCATTTACCCATTCATATAGCACTCTACTATTTCTATACAAATAATAATCAGTGCTTTATCACATTCATACACCAATGGGACACACATCGGAGGCAATGAAGGGTTCAGTGTCTTGCCCAGGGACACTTCGGCATGTGACTGCCGTGGAATCGAACCCCCAACTCTTGCATTAGAGGACAACTGCTCTAACCACTCAGCCACAGCCGCCCCTCATGGAAACTCATGGGGGAGTTCCAAAACCCCTGCTGACCAAAAAACACCAATGTTCAACTCACGTTTGCCAAAACGATCCCCAAGAAGAATCCCCAACTTCTGAAGAAAATATTCTGTGGACTGACAAGACAAAATTGCAATATTTTGGAAGGTGTGCATTCTCTTACATTAGGGGTAAAACTTACAGTGCATTCAAAAGAAGAACATTATACTGACAATCAAACACAGCAGAGGTAGTGCAATGGTCTGGGACTGCTTTGCTGCTTCATGATCTGGACAACTTGTAGTGACTGATGAAACCATGAATTCTGGAACCAGTTAATTGTTTTTGTTATTGCTGTTATCGATGCCAAGGGTGGAACAGCCAATTAGATTTAGGGCAGGGGTCTGCAAGCTGCGGCTCTGGGGCCACATGTGGCTCTCTGGTCTTTCTGCATTGTCTCTTTCAGGCTTTGACCAAAACTAAAATAAAACTGAACTTTAGTAAAATTATTGCCAACAATGAAAATGGCTAGTTTTAGCAGATTTCCTGTCTTTTTCAAATATTTTAAGAATAGTTCAAAAACTCGTGGACTACATCATGCTAGTAGTTTGTTAGCCACTTTAAGTTGACTTCCAGTCTCACAGCGTGATGTTTCTCTCAAAACCACCAGAATGTTTTGGAATAGCTTTAAAACACGCTGCTGAGAAGGAATATTTGATGAAACTAAGAATAAAACACAAAAAATAAAGTCAAAATAAACAAAAGTATTTATTTTTATTTAAAAATCTAATTGGATATCTAACAAACTGGCCTAATTTTATACTGTCTTTAACTTTATGCTTTAAGTTGGATTCTTAATTCTTCAACAATTAAGAAAACTCACATCGGCCTGCAGAGTTCAGTGTTTTAATGTTAATCAAGTTGATAAAAAACAAATATTTTTTTATTTCTATACATTAATCTGGTCTTTCTTTTGTATTAAAATGTAAAAATATCAATAAATTTTAATAATAGTTAGACATTTTTCATTTTATAATATCACCCCCACAGGATGGAAAAGCCATCTCCAACAAACTTATGGCCCATGGGCCACCAGTTGACCGTACACAGTTATTGCAGGTTTTGCAGCACCGGACATCGTAATTAGTAAACAAAGTGGCAAAACTGTCTCTCTTTATTGCAAAGGTTGCAGACCCCTGATTTAGAGAGTAACGTTTCCCCACTGAACCAAGTTGGCTTGGATACCATTTCTTTTTTTATTAAATGGAATCATCATTCAGAAAATGGCATTTTATATTCACACTTTTTTTGTCTGATAACATTTGTTTGATGATCTGAAATGTGTAAGTGGGACCAGAAATATATTGAGGCGAGTATCTTTTCGCAGCACTGTATGTTTGCAGCTATAATCCATTTTGTTACCTACTCTACGCTCTACGCTGTTCCCCCAGACTCTCTCACCCTGCGTTTCTCCTTTTCAGCCCTTCAAAACCAAATTTGAAGCGATCAGCCTAACTTCTACACAAACTGACATCAGCATGAGCAAACAAGCACAATATCTTGCACTGACCTGTGTACAGTTTTTACCTTTTTAAAGCACATGTGCCATGTTTAGAGGACGCCCCGAGGCTACCTGCTTTGCTCGTCACGCCCACAGACGTGCCATAGCTGCAGTCGTGTTGTGTTCATAACAAGACCCAGTTACTATAGCACCTTGCAGTGTGTTGCCTTGGACCCGACGCTGTGTCCCGGGGTCACAAGAAAACATTGCACCTTCTTGCCAGTGTTTAGTTGTGGGATGATAGATTCTCTATCCAAATAGATTTTTTTTTTTTTTAGCTGTTGGGAAGGATTTTATGAGCTTAATGCGAATACAGAAACTGCTTGAATGGGATCATTTTGTGATAGTTTACTGTAAGCACTCACTTCAAGTGTTTTCGTTGAAGGGTTTCCCATGCAACACATTTTTGTTTGAGTTTGTCAACCTGACCACTTCACATAGCTGCTGCACGTTTTCGTTTCAGTGTGAAAAGCTCCAGAGCTGGCCTCTTGGTGGGAATGTAACGCTTTCTCTTTATCTGTTTGTCAGATAAAGAGTCGTTTTCTGTAACGGCTTTATTGCTCTTTGCATCATTATTATGCTCATTATGTTGCCACCTAAGTCTGGATTAGAAAGGGCTCTTGCAACAGTCTCGTTGTGATGTAGCAAAAAGACAAAACATGCTTCAACTGAAACAACTTGCTGCTGAGATTCTTCTTTTTCAGCATCACCAAAACAAAATCCAAAACGCACGCCTTTGCCAACAGCTGTCTGCCTGCTGCATTTGCTGCTTTTTACCTGCATGCCAAAAAAAACGTCTTCTAATGGTCAGAAAGCATGAGAATCACCTTGAAAGATGCCAAAAAGAAGGCTGCTTCTGAACCGAACTGAAAGCTGAGTCGCTGCACACCTCTGATCGAGTTATGTGTTTGTGCTTTGCTTAATACATCTTTTGTGTAGTGTTGTAGTACTTTGTACTCAAGACCAGTCTTGGTCTTGAGACCGGTCTCAAGACCACTTTTTGATGGTTTTGTCTTGAACTTGACCGCATTTGGTCTCGGTCTTGGACAATGAGGACTCGGGATTTTATTTCAAGACCAGTCAAGACCAAACTGTGGAAATACCACTAAACTGCCAGAATATTGTCCAGTTTATTCGTTAACATCTTTGTTTTTATTGGATGCAAAACGTATTGCTTCAAATCCAAGCGATAACGTGACTCTTTGCTAAATACATGTTTTTGTTACAGTTGTCACGCCCATCCCCTTTCACTCGCACGTGGTTTTGTACCAACAGAGCAATACAGACAACAGAACGTAACGTCTCAACCAGTGGTGAAAGTAAGCTGATATGGTCCGGTACTACGTACCGCTAAAAGATTCTGCACCGCTACGCAGGACCTGGAAGAGAGGGGCTGTCTGCTGTAAAGCCTCATTCAGAATCAGTCACGGCTGCTCTTTGGGTCAGGATAGATTCTCTAGCAATAATCAGTCTAAAACACAACTTAATCAGTTAATAAATAGTTTTTTTCTCATTTCAAATAGTTTCTGAACTGTTCGATCTACGCTGGAGCCTCAGTTCTCTACCGCGGTGAAGTTAGTTTTACGTTGGACATTGGACATTCGACATTCGAGCTCCGTGGCTTCAGCGGTGTGTTCGTCTCGTTCGATCTGAAGCAGGCAGTCTGATTTCAGTCAGCTGAGCTCAGTCTGTCCCTCCTCCAAAACACAATGGTTCACTTACCGTCAACAAATTACCGAACCAAACACTCTTCAGAAACAAAAAAATTAATATATTTTGCATCATTGGACCCATTGACACAAAACTAATGTTAAACTACTCTCATAGACCTGACACACAAGACACCATCATTTATTTCTCATTTTAAAGCACTTTCTAATTAGTTATTGAGCGAAAACCATGATTTTTGAACAAATAAATGATGTAAAATTAGAAAATGCTTTAAAATGAGAAATAAATGCAGGAGCCTCGTCTGTCAGGTCTAGTAGAGAAGTTTAACATAAGTTTTGTGTCAGTGGGTCACATGACATGAAAATTATTGTGCAAAAACCACTGCACGTCTGATTTCTTTATGTAGCTTTGAAAACGTATAAAAGCTGATACATTCATTCAAAAGCAAACTTAAAGTTGCAGTATGTAGATTTTATTAAAAAAATACTTTTATAAAAGTTACATATGTTTTTTTTAACATATTTGTTAAAACTGTAACTATGTTAAATAAATAATAATCTGTGAGAAGATGGAGCTCCAAGACTTGAGGACTTGGTCTCGATTTGGTCTCGGACCCCAAAAGTCTTGTTCTTGTCTCGGTCTCGGTACACTCTGGTCTTGGTCTTGACTTGGTCTCGGGTTAGGTGGTCTTGACTACAACACTGCTTTTGTGCACTGAAAAAAAAAAGTTGCCATGCCAGCTGGGTGTCTTCTGGGTAATTATGTTGACAGGGTTGCTAAATAGCTTTCAGATTACTATGTTTCTGGATAGGGAATTGATAACACTCTTCATGGTATATTTCACATTAGTCAGACTACTTTTGCACATACAGTATGTCAAACTCAAGAGCCGTGGGCCAAATCTAGCCCCCCAAGATGAGAATTTAAATGTAAAATATTGCATTTCTTTTAATTTTTCCTTAAAAAACTGATAAATACATAATTTAATATAGACTTCTCTTACCAGTTGGCTAACTTTCAAGTCAGAAAGAAGGCTGGATCATTCTATCATTATTGATTCAGATGTAGAAAGAGTAACAGAACGTCAAGTGAGACAGATCAAACTATTCTTCATGAACCTGCAACCAAGAAAAAATATTAAGTATCTGACTCGAGTTAATGTATCACCTGAAAGTGGCCCGTGGCTTGGACAAATTTTTAACTTTTGGCTCCTTTTGGTAGTGTTTTCATTCCACATGTGAAAAGCATTAGTGCAGGAAAAATTCATTTGTGTGTTCCGCTTGCCAGGCAAAGACACACGAGGTTGTCCTTTTTGACTAACCACTGAATCCTGATGAAAAGCATCACCTACATGTCATCACATGAACATGACGCACAGCTACTTTTCCTCTTCAGTGATTTACTGGAATCATTTTACCTTGAGAGACAAAAGAGTGATTCTTTCTGAATTTAAAGTGCTTCGCCGGATCATTATATTTATCACAGCGATCTGTTTTTTAAGAGACAAAGTAATCATCTCTTGTGCAAGTTTCTTAGAGTACTCAAACGCCAGAGTCAGACTGAAAACAACCATGAAAAGATTCTCACAATGACCCCAGTCACCCAATTTAGGTCTCTCATACTTTCCATCACTGTGTGACGATGTTCCCATTTCTGTTCTGGTTCTTGATTGTTAGGACTGTGTGGTCTTTTCTTTTGCCCAGGTTATGCTCCAGTGACCGGGATGTGTCATCCTCTGAGGAGCTGCACTTTGAATCACGAGGACGGCTTCTCATCGGCCTTCGTGGTCGCTCATGAAACCGGCCATGTGTGAGTAACAGCCTCATAGTCTCTTATTGCTCATGCAGCTAAAATTATAGTTTTGCATGGCCGTCCATAGCTGTAGTCTGTGATCAAACTTTAATGGGGCTCTGTTGTCTTGAAGGAACGTGGCATGTGGTCTGACATCTCTAGCGTCATGATTTCAGAAAAAAAGTATATTGTGAATAAGCAAATACAATAGTCCCTTGTTTATCTTGGGGGATCCGTACCTTGAAACCCCGCGATAAATGAAAAACCGTGAAGTAGGAATAGTACAAGTACAAGTACGGTACAAGTAGTACCGTAAGTAGTAGTTTATTTATATATATACACACACACACACATATATATATATATATATATATATATATATATATACTGTATATATATAAAGGCGTTTTAAACCCTTCCCACACTCTTGCAATATTCTAAACAATATTTCTAAACTTTAAACGCTCTAAAAGAGCATGTTATGAAATCTGCCATCTGCCAGTGCTCTCGGACACGCCCACTTCTCCGCTGCAGGGCGGAGATATGACACACTGCAGGAGGAAGCTTCACCTGCAGCTGTGGGCTGCGCACAGGTGTAGCGGGTGCTAAATAATTAAAAAATATATAATTTTAAATAAAAAAAATCCATGCCAATCATTTGGCTCATCCATCAATCAGTCAGTTGGGTGTCATGCCCAATCTTATTTTGAAAAGCTGTGATAGAGTGAGTCCGCAAAAAATGAACCACGAAGTAGCGAGGGACTACTGTACCTCATTTTTAATCTTTTATTACTTCGTTATAACATTTTTGTAAGAAAATACCTAAAAGAAGGAGGATGTCATGTGGCACTCATACTCTTTACTTGGTGAGCCCTGCTAAAACATTTATTAGATATTAGGGGAGTGGTGGTGCAGAGGTTAGAGAAGGCGGGCTTGTGATCGGAAGGTCGCCGGTTCGAGTCCCCGACTGACAACATCAAAATGTGGGTGAGAAAGGTCTAACACATCCACCTTAATTTGCCCCACTCTGGGCCCTTGAGCAAGGCCCTTAACCCCCACCATGTGCTCCCCCAAGCACCCTTGATGGCAGGTCTCTGCTCCACACAGAGGGCTGTGGTAGCTCGGTGGTCTGTGGTTGCTTCAGGAAGGGCATCCGGCGTAAAAACAATTGCCAAGCCTTCGTGCGAGTTAGTTCGCCGTGGTGACCCCTGAATAAAGGAGCAGCCAAAAGAAGAAGAAGAAGAAGTAATGTGTTTCCACCACCCTGGAGTTGTTCATCTCATTCTTTAGAGTGGATGTTACCACAGGTTGAAATTGTGGATAAATGCGAGTCATAAAGAGCCTTTGTTTGTGGTCATAAATCAGAGATATTGTGCATAACTGCTGGTCCATTTCACACACCCTGCTTCTCTAATGGAGCTCTAAAGAAAAATTAAGTGGTGCAATGTTTGTGAACCCAAACACCCACTGTGACACAGGAGTTAAAAGCCAACCAAACAGACTTGACTGTTTGATCACACAAAAGAACCAAACCCCGTCACCAACAATTTCATCCATTAATAGTGAAAAAGGATCAGACTGTGCTGTATTTTTGTGACCTATGACCTTTATATCAACAATTAACAAAAGACCTTGAATTCTTCAAGAGTGCTTTTGTTACAGTTTGAAAAGAAAAACAAAACAAAACAGATCTTAATGTGTGCATTTACAGCCCTGACTGACATTTTATAAAATGGTGTCAGAAGGAAAAACAGGATGTTTTATAATAATTTTTCTGTCTGAATGCCTAATCTGCATTCCAACTCTGCTCTCAGGCCACTAAACTCTGAGGCAAATAATAATCATGTGAAGATGTGATTATTCTCAGCTCATAGAGGAAGCAGAGTTCTACTTGCACGTGCGTTACAAACGCACCATGTTGCCTTTAATTGCACCAGTCAATTGCTGTGTTTTCCTCCGACATCGTAGGAAACACCTGTGCAATCCAGACTTGTTGGATTTGATTGCTCCTCTTCTAAAATGTTTTGTTTAATTTCGAATGTATCACGATCACCTGAGCCATGACTTCCACTCGGTGCATACAATCATGACACAAACGTAGAAAAGATAAGTAAAAGTTGCGTTTGTTAAGTCAGACTTGTTAAGCTTATCAAACAAACAAACAAACAAAAAAAAAAAAAATACATTTTTAAGAACAATGCTGCCCAACTTAAAGATTTTGAAGTATGTTATGGATTTTTTTTTTCTCCTGCTTGCTCTTGGTGAAGGCGGATGCTTTTCCCTCCCGCTCCTTCCCTGCTCTGCTCTTTGTGCTCTGTGTCCAGTCTAGGACATAGTGAGATATGATTTTTTTTTTACACCTCCTCTTCCTTCATGTTTCTCTTTTCCTTATCTAAACGAAAAGGGCAGCGCCTCCCATGAGGCCGCAGCCTCAGAATCCTCCGTCTACCCATGTCTGTTCGTTTGTGTTTTACTTGGACAGGCTGTATTGAAAAGTAATTTCGTTGTGCTTCGGTGCAATGACAGTAAAGCTGATTCTGATTTTATCCAAGCTACTGCCACACCTAACTCTAGCTAATTATCTGTGAAACTGACGGTGATAACAATTTTGTGTTTTCTAAGGCTAATTGGCTTTGACAGCCATCTTGAATTGTGGTGACTTAATCTCATCTGCTACTGCACCGAATTTTAGGCTTATATCTGTAAAGTTGACTGCATTACAGCTAATTTTGTCTTTATACGTTTAGTTGCCTACGGCAGCCATCTTTAATTAGACAGAATGCAAAAGTTAATCAGTTGTAGACGTGCATCCAATGATTACATACTGAGAGTGGCATTAGCGTTTGTCCAGTGGTTCACGAGAGATTTTGCTAACAGACAAACAAACCAACAGATGCACAGACATGGGCAAAAGCGTTATCATCCTTTCACTTTTGGTGGCCAATACCTAAAACCTAACCTGATCAGTCATGCAGTGTCTGTGTTATCCGGACTGTCTTGGTTTTTCTGTTTTATTCTCAGTCCAAACACGTCCCAGTCGGATGAGTTGAATTTGCTGGTAGGTACAGCACAGCTCCATAGATTTTAGCTTTGTGAGTCTTCCCCCTGCATGCTGTGATAACCTGCAGGTCTCCTGAGGAGAATTATAGAGACGTGGAGATGGGTGGATGAATATGTTAGAGCGATTACTCTTTTTTTTTTTTTTCACACAAGAAAATGAATTCTGCACAGTTTTTTTTTAACAACTCTAACGTTTTGCTCACAGCCACTGTGTTTATCAGTTAGAATGAAAAAACATTATCTACATTAAATAAAGATATTAACACATTAGCACTGCAACTTATGTCAGTCTATAAGGATTGCAACATTTTTAAAATTTATCATTTGGGTTTTAACACCCACGTCTCGCCCCTGTCTTGGTGTGTTTAGACGCAACGTGCAGGTCATTAAATCACATTCAAACACAAAATGCTACTTTAAAAGATCTGAATTATTGCTTTAAAGTGGTATGACACACATCTAAAATCCTGTATTTTCCAACATCATTATAGGGTCACTTTTAGCATATTTGCTGTCCCACAGAACACAAAATCAGCATCTGTTTGTATCAAAAGCAAGTGATTTCACTAAGATGCATGAACACCTAATTCCATAATGACTACGCAAAATAAAATATCTCACTTGAACTAAATAAATAAAATAAAGCCATGTGTTTTGTTGACATGTGCTGAGGCTTTGTCAGCACCGTATTTTCGGATTATAAGGTGCACTTGATTATAAGTCTGTCGATTTTTGACAAAATTAAAATGCGCCTTATTGTTAGAAAAACACAGTATTTCAGTAGCTTGTGGAGCTAAAACCTTGCAGCCGACTTAATTCATGCAATACATTTTATAATCTATCAATGAGGCATTATTGATCTGCCAATAAAAGGATTTTGTTGGTTTATCTCAATCACACAATTCCTTTGATTCACTTACATGTATTAAGCAATGCAACAATTATCATGAAAGATGGAGAAACTGTTTCACAAACTGTCTTCTTTAGTCTTTAGTTGTTCACCCTCGGTCTGCTTTGTTTGTAAATGTGAAAGGAGTAATTTGACATTTTATAAAACGGTTTAATTCTAGAGTTAGAGAAGAAAATTGATGCCACACGCAGCTAATAAACCTCGGTTAGTATAAATATGCATGTAGGCGTTTGCAGCACTTCGGAGAGTTAAATACAACTACAGTACATATATATGTATATATATATATATGGCAACAATCATGTGATTCAGTCATGTGATTAAACTGTCCCATGAGAATGAAGGGTGAGAACGTTTTTCCAAATGGACATTTTGTGACTAAACGTAATAAATCCACATACTTCCTACACTTTCTGTCTTCTCTGTGCATACTGTTGTCTAATGAGCCCACGTTTTTTTCTAAATTTCTTTAGTTTGGGCATGGAGCACGACGGTCAGGGGAATCGTTGTGCCGATGAGACCAGCATGGGCAGCATCATGGCACCACTTGTCCAAGCAGCTTTCCATCGTTACCACTGGTCACGTTGCAGCAAGCAGGAGCTCAACAGATACATCCAGTGCGTTCCACTTTTTATCTTTGCTTCTCAAGACGTTTCTGCTCCGACAGGTTGCCAATAATCCTGTAGCTCGTGTCCCATTTATGACGACATTATTCTCGATTTTTCCACAGCTCTTATGACTGCCTCCTGGATGATCCTTTCGAGCATAAATGGCCCAAGCTTCCTGAGCTTCCAGGAATAAATTATTCAATGGACGAGCAGTGCCGCTTTGATTTCGGTGTTGGTTATAAAATGTGCACAGCTGTAAGTCCTGCACACCCGTGAAAAAAAAAAAAAAAAATCAAAGTATTGACTTTATTTGAGCAACTTGAGTAACTGAAGCTTAAATGTTTGTTTCCGGTTTAGTTTCGAACGTATGACCCTTGCAAGCAGCTGTGGTGCAGTCACCCTGACAACCAGTATTTCTGCAAAACCAAAAAAGGTCCTCCTGTAGACGGAACAGAATGTGCACCGGGAAAGGTAGGAAATGCCATCAGTTATTCTTTTCCAATGTAATTTCAAAAAAGATTTATCTGAAGATAAAATCAAAAACCTGAAATGTTTTCAAAGCAACCAATTGTCCTGTTCCGTGACATCTTGGCCTTTCTTTCATTTGCTTTGCGCTGCTTTCCGTCCTGTTCCATTTTCAGTGGTGCTTTAAGGGTCACTGCATCTGGAGGTCGAGCCACGAACCTCAGGGACACGATGGAAGCTGGAGCGCCTGGTCAAAGTTCGGCTCGTGCTCCAGAACGTGTGGAGGTGGAGTTCGCTCCCGAAGCCGACAATGCAACAATCCTCCGTGAGTGATCCGAAAGAGAGCATACTATGTCTGCAGTAGGAAAATGTGATTTATTTTTTTATTTGTGGATGATAGTTATTCTTTAAAACGTTCAGTCAAAAGCTTCTGCAGCTAAAATAATCCACTTTTGTTGGCATCTATTTATTATAAATAATGTTAAATTGAGTCAAATTATGAGCATGAATTGTTTAAACAGAGCAGCACCCCAATTAGCATAAAATACACATAAAAATAAGTACTACTAACAAAAAAAACTCAGTAGAAAACAATCAAGAGCAGGGGTGGACAACTTTTTTTATCAAAGGGCCAAATTAAGGTATTTAAAGCAATAGATTTTCTTTAAGACAGATAATCTGGAACACTTTTTAGGCTTTATCTTGTTCTAGCAAAGTTAGCATGCTTGATTAAAAAAATATGTATCCTCTATACTCTATGAATATAAAACATGCTCTTTGTACACTGGCTCTTGAGACAATATATTAGCTTAAATATGTTAAACAACAACAAAAACACCATATACAGTAGCCCCTCATTTATCATGGGGGAGCCGTACCCTGAAGCCCAGTGACAAGTGAAAAACTACAAGTAGGAATAGTACAAATAGTAAGTAGTAGCTTATATGTTTCTAAACTCTAAACGCTCTAAAATACTTCAGCTCTCTGCCTCCGCTGCACTGTCGGCCACGCCCACTTCTCCACTCTGCACGGAGATCAGCTGATCAGCTGCAGGAAGAAGCTTCTCCCACAGCTGTGGGCTGCCCACAGTCAAATCAACATCATAAATCATTTAAAATTTATTTAAAACAAAAAATACAAAATAAGAGTTTGATAAAGAATCAGCATAGTAAGAAAGGAAATAGGAAAGAAGTGCAATAGAAATTGTATGTATGTATGTATGTATGTTTTATTTATTCATTTCATTTCATCCAAACAACAAATATAATACAATTTAAAGAAAAGAAAAAAGATATACAATCACCAAAATAAAATGAAAGGCAGCAGAAGAAGAATGAATTCTTATAATATCTGCCTCTTGTCCCCAAAATATATTCCAAACAAAATTACTATACAAAAGCAAGATGAATTTATAAAAAAAAAAAAAAAAAAAAAAAAAAAAAAAAAAACAGCTAATAATAAAATAAAATAATAATAATAAAATTAATTAGTTGTTGAGGACAAATCAAAACAAAACTGACTCAAACTGAAGTTAATGCTTTTGGAATGGTCCTAATGGTTTGTTCATCATAAATGTGTGGGAAAATCTTTGCTGCTTATACAAACAAATCATCAGCCAAGGAAAACTAGAAGACAATCTTTAGATCAGAGTTAGAGTTAGAAAAATGTTTTAAACTGTGTTAAAGGCCAAAACATTATGTCCTAGCTATCTTGGGTGGTGTTCAAATCAGTATATACAGCTGTTCATGTGGAATAAATAACAGCTGTTTAGTACGGTGGCCCTGAGGTGTAAATGAACACCATTTGAAAAAAACGGAATTACATTTGCGGAAGTGGCCAAAGCGGAAGTGGCCGGAATCACATTTGGAAAAAATGGAATTACATTAAGCCAAACCAGAAGTGGTGGTGGTGGTATGGGGGGAGGGTTTTATTTATTTATTTTTTTTTTTTACTTTATTAACATAAAACTAAAGTGGCCCTGAAGTGGTTTGGCTTAATGCAATTCCGTTTTTTCAAATGTAATTCCGTTTTGGGTTTTTTCCTTTTCAAATGTGATTCCGGCCACATCTACGTTGGCTTAATGTAATGTCTTTTTGAATGGAATTCTGTATTTTCAAATATAATTCCGTTTTTTTTTTTTTTCCCAAATATAATTCAGTTTTTTCAAGTGTAATTCCATTTTTTTTTTTTTTCCCAAATGTGATTCCGGCCACTTCCGCTTCGGCCACTTCCGCTTCGGCCACTTCCGCTTTGGCTTAATGTAATTCTGTTTCTTCAATTCTTCAAATGTAATTCTGTTTTTTTCAAATGTTGTTCATTTACACCTCAGGGCCACCGTAGTTTAAGATTTAAAGTAAACTTTAATTTACCTAAATTAATCAGAACTTCAGATTAGATTCTTTCATCCATTTTCTTCCGCTTATCCGGGGTCGGGTCGCGGGGGTAGCAGCCTAAGTAGGGAGGCCCAGACTTCCCTCTCCCCAGCCACTTGGGCCAGCTCTTCCGGGGGAATCCCGAGGCGTTCCCAGGCCAGCCGAGAAACGTAGTCCCTCCAGCGTGTCCTGGGTCTTCCCCTGGGCCTCCTTCCGGTGGGACGTGTCCGGAACACCTCACCAGGGAGGCGTCCAGAAGGCATCCTAAACAGATGCCCAAGCCACCTCAACTGGCTCCTCTCGATGTGGAGAAGCAGCGGCTCTACTCCGAGTCCCTCCCGGATGATCGAGCTTCTCACCCTGTCTCTAAGGGAGAGCCCAGACACCCTGCGGAGAAAACTCATTTCGGCTGCTTGTATCCGAGATCTCATTCTTTCGGTCACAACCCAAAGCTCGTGACCATAGATGAGGGTGGGAACGTAGATCGATCGGTAAATTGAGAGCTTCACCTTATGACTCAGCTCTCTCTTCACCACGACAGACCTGTACAGCGCCCGTTTCACTGCAGACGCTGCACCTATCCGCCTATCGATCTCACGCTCCATTTTTCCCTCATTCGTGAACAAGACCCCAAGATACTTGAACTCCTCCACTTGGGGTAGGACCTCCTCCCTGACCCAGAGAGGGCACTCTACCCTTTTCCGGCTCAAGACCATGGCCTCGGATTTGGAGGAACTGATCTTCATCCCGGCCGCATCGCATTCGGCTGCGAACCGCTCCAGCGAAAGCTGTAGATCACGATCTGATGAAGCCAATAAGACCACATCATCTGCAAAAAGCAGAGACGCAATTCTGAGGCCACCAAAACGGATCCCCTCAACACCTTGGCTGCGCCTAGAAATTCTGTCCATAAAAGTTATGAACAGAATCGGTGACAAAGGGCAACCTTGGCGGAGTCCAACTCTCACCGGGAACAAGCCCGACTTACTGCCGGCGATGCGGACCAGGCTCTGACACCGGTCATACAGGGACCTAACAGCCCGTATCAAAGGGCCTGGTACCCCATACTCCCAGAGTACCCCCCACAGGGCCCCCCGAGGGACGCGGTCGAAAGCCTTCTCCAAGTCCACAAAGCACATGTAGACTGGTTGGGCAAACTCCCACGCACCCTCCAGGACCCTTCTGAGAGTGTAGAGCTGGTCCAGTGTTCCACGGCCAGGACGAAAACCGCACTGTTCCTCCTGAATCCGAGGTTCGACTATCCGACGGACCCTCCTCTCCAGAACCCCCGAATAGACCTTACCAGGGAGGCTTAAGAGCGTGATTCCCCTGTAGTTGGAACACACTCTACGGTCCCCCTTTTTGAATAGGGGGACCACTACCCCGGTCTGCCAATCCAGGGGAACTTCCCCCGATGTCCACGCAACATTGCAGAGTCGCGTAAGCCAACACAACCCTACAACATCCAGAGCCTTAAGGAACTCTGGGCGGATCTCATCCACCCCTGGGGCCCTGCCACCGAGGAGCTTTTTAACCACCTCGGTGACCTCAGCACCAGAGATTGGAGGGCCCGACCCAGAGTCCCCAGGTTCCGCTTCCTCAGTGGAAGACGTGCCGGTGGGATTGAGGAGGTCTTCAAAGTATTCCGCCCACCGACCCACAACATTCCGAGTTGAGGTCAGCAGCAAACCACTCCCACTATAAACAGTGTTGGTGGCATACCGCTTCCCCCCCCGAGACGCCGGATGGTGGACCAGAAACGTCTCGAAGCCGTGCGGAAGTCGTTCTCCATGGCCTCTCCGAACTCCTCCCATGCCCGAGTTTTTGCCTCAGCAACCACCCGAGCCGCATGTCGCTTGGACTGCCGGTACCCATCAGCTGCTTCCGGGGTCCCACAGGCCAAAAAGGCCCGATAGGACTCCTTCTTCCGCCTGACAGCATCCCTCACCGACGGTGTCCACCATCGGGTTCGAGGGTTGCCGCCGCGACAGGCACCGACAACCTTGCGGCCGCAAGGTTGTGAGGAACGGCCCCCCTGATCTGAACCAGAGTGGTGTTCTGTTGTTGGACTTCTGTGCTCGTCATGGATTGTCAATAACGAACACCTTGTTCAAGTATAAGGGTGTCCATATGTGCTCTTGGCACCAGGACACCCTAGGCCGCAGTTCGATGATCGACTTTGTCATCGTCTCATCTGATCTGCGGCCACATGTCTTGGACACTCGGGTGAAGAGAGGGGCGGAGCTGTCAACTGATCACTACCTGGTGGTGAGTTGGCTCCGATGGTGGGGGAGGATGCCGGTCAGACCTGGTAGGCCCAAACGTATTGTGAGGGTTTGCTGGGAACGTCTGGCAGAGTCTCCTGTGAGACGGAGTTTCAACTCCCACCTCCGGGAGAACTTTGAACATGTAGATTATATTCTTTAACTAATTTAATTGTGATCAAAGCTGCTTGAGTAGAAGACAACTGGACTTTGTTTCTTGATTTGACCTCATCTGAAAGAGTTTTTCCATCTCGAGCCAGCTCTTTTCTCTGTTTTTTGAGCTTTTGGAATTTTAATGTGTACAGTTTCAGTTCCAAAAATTCCCTTTTGGATCGTTTTAAACATTAAGTTGCCAGGTATCGTCACCGCGCTCTGTTTTTGTCATTGCTCAGGCCCGCCTACGATGGCCGGGACTGCCCTGGCTCTGCTTTCGACTACCAGATGTGCAACACGGAGGAGTGCGCTGGCCCTTACGAGGACTTCCGAGCTCAGCAGTGCATCCAGAGGAGCAACAAATACCACAACAACATCAAGCACACCTGGCTGCCATACGAGCACCCAGATGGTGAGCCTGTGACGATTAACCTAAAAGTCAGAGGTGGTATTATGCAACACAAAGCGCTCACAGATGATATTTAAAGGTGCAGCTCTTTGCACGCTTATATTCACTTAGGTGTTGTATAACCTCAGGGCCCTGCAGAAGCATCTGTCAGATCTTTAAACTGTTCCTGGCTAATCAATGTGTGCATGAATGTTTTTTTGTTATTTTTTGTGGTGGGCTTTTAGAGGCTCGTAAATGTGAGCTGAGCTGTAAGTCGAAGGAAACGGGCGAGGTGGTGTTTATGAACCAGGTGATGCATGATGGGACGCGATGCAGCTACTCAGACCCCTTCAGTGTTTGCGCTCGAGGGGAATGTCTGGTGAGTCTAATTAAAATGACCATCCTGATGACTAAAAAAGCTTTGAGAAACATTTTATGTTTCTGGGAAATCCCACCTTTTCTGCTACTGACAAAAAAAAAAAAAGATATAATGCTCCTCATTTTAATGTAAATCTGCACTTCTGTGTTTGTATTTGAGATTTTCAAATCCACACACTTTGTTATATCTCATATTTCACCTTGAACACTCAGTTGGGACTTTATTCTTTGCAGGACGAGGCTCTGTGTTTTGGCTGAAGCTCTGTTATGTCTGCATATTTTCCCCTGAGATGCATGATCTGAAATAACCCAAATCAAATTTGAGTCACGCATGACATCATTTGCTCTGCTCGTAAACTCAGTCCGTGTAAAAGTCAAGTCTGATAGACTGACAGCCTCTGCTCTTTCCTGCAGCACGTAGCCTGTGACAAGGAGGTGGGCTCTTATAAACAGGAGGACAAATGTGGAGTGTGCGAGGGGGATAACTCCCACTGTCGCACTGTGAAGCTCACGCTCACTAAGACCCCCAAAATGAACGGTAAATGTCTGATTCTGTTCATAAATGAACTTCCTATCATTATCAGTTCAATAATTGTTAGTTTTAGGGCCCAGAAAGTTCTCACCAGAGCTTTTATGTCTCTTTTTGTCAGGAATGCTAAAAGTGTTTGACATCCCAATAGGAGCACGCCACATAACCATAGAAGAGAATGAGACCTCCCCTCATATAATTGGTGAGTTTTTTTTTCTGTGCAGGTGTTTCATAATGTTGGGTCATCCTATAAAACAGGAAATTAAAAAACACATCAAACCTTGAGTCTCCTTTGAAAATTTCCAGTCAGGTTTCAAAAGTATAAATGTTTGTTGTGCTTTATAATTGGCAACGTTTGCAAACTTAATTAAAAATTGGGGTAATGTTTGTTCTGAACAACCAAAACTACCTCAGGGACTGAGAAGTTGTTGCTGCTGCTGTCTAACTGTAATAATATTGCAACCTTAATGTGTAAAAACAAGCTCAACTTTAGTTCTGTTTTGTATTGAAAAAGTTTTTAATTTTCTGTTTTTGCATATAAATCTGTAATAGAAAAGGAATGTTTGAATATTTGCTCAGTTTAAGGGAATTTTCACTTAATTTTCCAAATTAACAGATCGAATTGAAGCGGTTACCGTATTTTTCACCATATAAGTTGCACCTTTTTGCATAAATTTACAAGTCCTGCGACTTATACACCGAAACAACTAATATATGTTTTTTTTCCCCTGTATTTATAATTCAATTTTTGGCTGAGATCTGATGATTTCATTCATTCTGACATGGAAAATATTGAACACTACCATTTTCAGCCACTAGAGGGCCGTCAACTAATATGGGAAGCTAAGTGTCTCATTAATAGGTAAAAGTGGCTATTAATGAGACACTTGGCTTGCCATACTAAGCCACCTTCGTCTTGTTCTGAAACTCCTGGAGCAAACATCAAATCAGCTGCATTTCACCACGCCACCCCGACGAAATGCAGCTGATTTGACCATTAAAGTGCAAGTAAAAGTTAAACTGAGACACACTTTTGCTATGATTTGAGCAAACAATTTATTGTTTTTAAGTGTTAATCTTGTTAAATTATTGTTAATGTCCTCCTGTGCACACTCCTGTGGCCGCCATTTGGCAGCCAATTGATTTTTGGCACAACGCTGGCCCACATCTCCGGGTGGTCAGCAGTGACGCAATATGAGACTTATACGGTGAAGCGACTTATTTGTTTTTTCCACTTTATTAAACATATTTGGACTGATGCAACTTATATGGCATAAAGTACAGTGTATGGGAAAATATTAAAACAATTAGCATATACTCTACTGCAATATGGAAGGAATCCATTGTTTTTGCTTGTTTGCACTTTTCTGACTTCAGCTTTGCATTCTGGTTCTAAAGTTTTATTTTAAGTTATTATTTTTCTACTAGTTGATTTTAGCATTTTCTGTCTATTTGTGATATTGTTTAACCATGTGGTTTTTATTTGATTTGATCAGATTTTGTTTGAAAATGTGAAATTAAATAAATAAAACAGAGATTTTGCAACTTAGACACGTTTCGAAGGATCAGTTCAGCCAATAAAACATGTACCTGCTGAGAAGTTTGACAGAACTTTTAACCATTACATTAGGACAAAATATCCAGTGGCAATCTTAACAATAACAATATTTATATTTTAAATATCACAATGTCTGTTTGTGTGACTGACTTGGCTGAGTCAGATTAATTGTATCGTACTTTTACTGGCTCCTCTCTTTTCTCTACTCTTTCCTTTTGTTGCTTTTTAAGCAGATGATTCAAGGCTTACAGGGCTTGTGCCTGAACTCAATATTCATACTGAACAATATCGGAGATGTTTGGTGGAGAAATGGCTGTTTTTGAAATTTTTGTTCAATTTTTTTTTCCTTTTTGATTATATGAACAATTACGTGGCAAGCAAATACAGTTATTTTCCCAAATAGTTAATAATCTTGAGTGTATTTCCCTTTTTTGCTGACAGCTGTGAAGAATCAGGTTACTGAGAACTTCATATTAAATGAAAAGAGCGACCGTGTCGAATCCAAGACTTTCATTGAAAATGGTCTACAGTGGGAGTATTCTGTTGACGGTCAGAGGGAGACGTTAAAAACATCTGGCCCTCTGCATGAGGGCATTGTAGTTCTGGTGAGTAAGGCTAAAACTGGATCTTTTGTTTTAAATCACGACTAAATTATAATAATACCTTTATGGCTTCTCTCCGCTTTGTTGCAGGTCAGTCCGATGGAAGAAGATGTAAAAATTAGCTTGACGTATAAATACATAATACATGAGGATCTGTTGCCACTCATCACTAACAACAACGTGCTACTTGCTGAACTAGACACGTACGAGTGGGAGCGGAAGAGCTGGTCCCAGTGCTCCAAGCCATGTGGGGGAGGTTAGTCAGTTTTTGCATAATAATAATTAAAAAATAATAATAAAATAAAAGTGTTTCGGCTTGTAATATTCAGGTAAATGTCTAAGATTGGATGTATTGGTCAGACTCTTATTATAGCTTTGATTTTTTTGTGTATATTTTGTGTTTACGGTATGTCATATTATGTCAACATGACGGTTTTCTGTTGCCTCTGTTTTAAAGATAAACTGCAATATAAACTAAAGAAATTGTAGAAAAACAGCTGAAATTAGTCCCCCCCCAAAAAAAAATAAATAAATAAATAAATAAAAATAAAAAACTGCTGAGATGTAGCTGAAATGGAAGAACAAGCCTAAAATAGCAGAAGAAAGCAAAAAGAACACATATTTGCTGAAACAAGTTTAAATAAGCAGAAACATAAGATAATTAGCAAAAAAAAAGCTTAAATTAGCCAAATATAGCAGAAAAGGCATAGAGAAGCTTAAACTGCCAGAAGGAAGTGGAAGGAGCCGAAATGAGCAAAAGAAATGTGGAATTAGATGGAAAAGCTCAAATTAGCATCAAAAGAACTAAATAGTAGCTGAAAGAGCAGAAAAAGCAGCAACTAGCAGATAAAAGCTGAAAGGAGCATAAGCTGAAATCAGCATAAATAAGTTAATTAGGTTGAAAATAACAGAAATTACTACCAAAACTTTAATTGATCAGAAAACAGTTGAAATTAGCTAAAAATTGCTTGAAAAGGGTAGCTGAAAAGGTAGAATAAGCTTAAATTACCATAAGAAAGCAGAAAGAACATGTTTGCCCAATTAGGCTGAAAAAAAGCAGAAATGAATGCAAAGAAGTTGAAATTCTGAAAAAAGCTGAAATAATAATTAAAAAAACAGCTAGCTATAAAAGCAGAAAGAAGCTTAAATTACCAGAAGGAAGTGGAGAGTACATTTTTGCTGAATTAGGCAAAAAATAGTTTAAATGAGAGCAAAAAAATGTGAAATGAGCATAAAAGCTAAAATTAGCATAAACAGCTATATATTAGCTGAAATAGCAGAAAAAGCTGAAAGTTGCAGAAATAAGCTGAAAGGAGTTGAAATTAGCAGGAAAAAGTTTGAAGAAGCACAAAAATGTTCTAGTTGGTAGAAAGAATCTGAAAGGAGCTCAAAACAGCTGAAATCAACCGAAAGTAGCTAAAAATAAGTTTAAATTTGCACAAGGAAGCTGAAAGAAGCTGAACCAGAACAAAATGTGAAAGGAGCAGTAAAAGGTTGTAAAAAGATCTAAAGGATGTAAAATGAGCTCAATTCAGTTTCTATGAGGAAAAAAGTGGCAGAAAAGGCTGAATATTTCAAAAAGCTAAAGTTGCACCTATACCAAAAGTCACAGCACTCTTCTGCTGAACGAGTCGAACGTATGATTTGTTGAAGTAGCACAAAAATTGTGGAATGAGAAAGATGCTGAAAATCTTACAGAAGAAAAAAGGCTCACAATAGTGTGAATGCTTCATAAACATTCACACAATAAACTTAAAAAACCCTGCTTTGAAAAGTACAGCTAGTTTGATGATCATGATATATTTGGGGTACTGTATGTTGTATTTAACTGGAAAGAAGATTGACACAAATTCTGCTTGAATTAAATAAAAAATTATCATTATAACTTTTCCTTTGGGACTGTTTTACACCTGAAACTGGACACATCAGATGAATTTATTTTCTGAGCTTATTTGACAAGAACAGCCCAAAAAGTGGTGTTGCATGTTAGAACGTATTTGGTTTCCAGTCAAAGGCTAATTTGCAAATGTAGTCTCTGGTTGGGCTTTTTGAGAGTAAATTACAAATAAACAAGGTATTACACAGATGCAAAACATTGCACTGGTTAGGTGTTCCCAATCTGGGGAGCTGAAAAGGAAGGTGTGCCAAAGAATGTGTTGCCCCTTGCTGGTTTAGTTTCCATTTACAGCTCCCCTTGTAGCTCCTGTAGAGCTGGAGCTTAAAATATTTTGCTACCTCATTTGTTTCTCGAGCTGCGTTATGTAATCCAAAGGTAAACTGGAAAATGCATTATGGTAATCCAAAAGGAACAGTGTAATTCTTTGAATTATGTTCTTATAGGAAATGTTGGATCTTGCCAAAAAGGGTTAAACAATGACATGAGACACAACAAGTTCACTTTGTTGTGTTTTGAATTTCAGTCCAGTCAAGGTTCTGTACGATGTGCTGAACAAGCGAGTTTGAGCTGAACCGCTGGTAACTGATACCACTAATCTGTGTCTGAACGCGTTAAGACTGGACATCAACAGACGGACCTACTCAGTCATCAGCCATGCTATGGCTGATGACTGCAAATGCTCTTGTTTTACTTTATTTCAAATGATAATGATGGGTTAAAGCAAAATAATATCTATGATTTTCAGAATATGTTGTCTGGACTTGTGACAGCAGCCATTTGTACTCCAAAACCTGTATGTAACTGTGATAGGAAGTTCAAAATAATCAGCTGTCATTGGGTTTGTTTGGTCTTTAAGTGATATTTAAAAGAAAAAAACAACTTGTGTAGATTTGTAGCACTCATTAAGTTTATATTTTTGCATTTAAATCTAAACCAACTGGTTTTATTGGTAGTATTTCCTTTATAAATTCTAAAAAAGGTTTCAAAAATGTAAATAACAATATCAACCCTTCAAAGTTCATGCTCAATCATCCATACTTGGGACTCCTCAGACTGATGAAGCCCTGCGGATAGAGGGCAAAATGTCTTTCCACAAAAAAGAAACTGTCCAGATGACCTGATTGATCATTATTGAATATCAACCCTTCTTCAGCTGAAGGAAATAATTAAAAAATATCAAACATTCTGGTTAAAATCATATTTAGTCATTTTCAAACTATGCATTATGGAGTTTTGTGTATCTCTTTTGTTTGCTGTTTTAGTTTGCTTGAAGATGTCATTGTGCACACGTTTGTCTTCACTAGGCATGCAGTATACAAAATATGGATGCAGAAGGAAGAGTGACAGCCGTTTAGTCCATCGCACCTTTTGTGAAACCAGTAAAAAGCCTAAACCCATTCGCAAACGCTGCAACATGCATGAGTGCAGCCAACCCATGTAAGCCAAAAATGCTGCCATTGTCTTCTCTCCTGTTTTTGCAGCATCAGTACCACTTTGATACATTGATAAATGCATTTCATTTCAAAGGTGGGTGGTAGAAGACTGGAGTCCCTGCAGTAAAACCTGTGGGACACTTGGCTACCAGACCAGGGTGGTGCAGTGCATGCAGTCGCTGCACAACAGCACCAACCGGCCGGTGCACAGCAAACACTGCACCACCAGTCGACCGGAAATGAGGAGAGTGTGTAACCACACTGTGTGCCCCGCCCAGTGGAGGACTGGGGCGTGGTCTCAGGTAATGAATCATAACAAACATCAGTATGGAGTTAAGGCTGGTCGTCTGACACGCCTGGTGTTAATGTTTACTACGGAATTATAAATGACTTGTTTTAGTCAGAATATCTGTCAAAACATTTGAAGGAAGCTCTTGGATATAGGTTTACCGTTAACAAAATATGTCTTCACTGCTTAAATGGCCAGAATAAAAAAAAGGCAAATCTATTGTTTTACACAACTAGCATAAACGACTAGATAGGCTTATAAAGTGGTTTTCTTGGACAAGTAGTCAAAACTGCAGTTTTTTTTATTTATTTAACAAGATCCCTATGATTAAATACTCAATATTACTCTGGCATTAACATATTTACAAGCCATCTCAACAATTAGCTTCAGTATTTTATGATAACGCCTCTTTATAACAAACACGCTGGGAGGATATTTTCTGTGCACTAAATTGTTTGGTATTATTGCGGTAATTAGCAATGTGCAAGTATGATTTAATATATCTAGTAAATCCAGCCTAATGTGTTAGATATTAGAGCAACTTACTTACGGAGGTAGAGTTAAACAAAAAAAAAATGGAGTTTATTTATCATAATTTAAGGTGGGTTTTATGTGGAAGTTTGGATACAGATAAAACCAGGGTAAATTACTGTAAATAAACTACAGGTACACAAGTGTACAAGATAACTGCACCCTGGAGAGGATTGTGACCAGCACCTGTATATGTACATGTAAATTATCTTCTCTACACATACTGTATACTATATACTGCGAGTGCCTGATACTCTACAGAACAATACTTTTTAGCTTGTAAGATTTATCATCTTTGAATGCCCTTATCATAATCTGTTGATCTTCAACAGTATTTCATTGCTGATGTCTGGATCTCTGAATCTTATTATTGGTAAATATAGGTCACATATAGGTTTTAACAAAAAAAAAGTTCTTGTATTTTAGGAACATAAATCACACGGTAATGTATAAACTAGAAAAATGGGGCAAATGGAAGGAGTTCCCATGTACTGGCCTCCGCTGCTGTTGATTTTGAACAACTTCCTGCTAGAATATGTGCATAGCAATGCTACATACGTGCATTCTGCTGTACTTATTAGTAATTTATTAGTAGCTATATGCATCTATCTCTTGCACAAAGAACAGAAGGATGCATTTTAAAATGGTTATTTCATACTATTTTAACCATTACCATATTTAATAGCACTTAATTACACATTATCTTCTACATGACAAAGAAAAGGCAAACAAAGACAGTAGGAAAATATTATATTGAGTATACATCATGTTGCATGTACTGATTTTGTTTAGCTATTGTTTATGTATACAGGAATACATATACATAAATATCAAGTTCCATAAATTGATGGAAACAGAACTGATCTTTTCTGTTGTGGGGGTTTTGGTGTGACAGTGCTCGGTGACCTGTGGAGAGGGAATTCAGCAAAGACAGGTGGTGTGCAAGGCCAGCGACAACTCGGTTGGAGAATGTGATGGCGAGAAGCCGGAAACAGTCCTTATCTGCAAACTAAATCCATGTCAAGGTGAGATCTAATTTAAAAAGATCTAAAACAACGTTCCTTGAAAACACAAAATATATGGTATAGTACAATATTATTTATTTTAGTATTGCATTTTTCTATCATATTGTGATGTGATTGCATCGTATCGTATAATATCGCATCGTATCGTATCGCATTGTATCGTATCGCATTGTATCGTATCGTATTGTATCATATCGCATCGTATCATATAGCACATCGTTTTGTGTTGTATCGTCTTTAATCACTGCAGCTCTAGTATAAAGGCTAATGTTTTAGGTAGAACAATATAGCTTGTTAGAAAACTTTAAGGATCAAGTTTCTAACTATTGTAGATTTGACCTTGAAAGGACGTGAACTACGTGAGGCTTTTTGCACACCGACCTGCTCTTTCATCATCCTACAGAGACTGTCACAACTTGAGACATTTTTTTTTTAAAGTCAACAAACCTGTTTTTTTTTTTATTAGAGATGATTTTAACTCACATCATACAAGCAGGTGTCACAGCACCCATTTTTGTGCACAAATGCTATGTCTTATTACAGCAAATTTCCTAAATTTATTTTGTTTTCTAATCATTTCTTTGTGATACACTTCTTGGAATGGTTATGATGTTTTGAATCACAATATTTAAAAAGCTGTGGCTGAATTGTTGAGTGTCTGAGAAGGAGAACTCATTTGCATCTCAAAAACTTATTTAAGTTACTTTTTTTTTTTTTATCAATGGAATTAAATGACAAAAATAAGAGGTTGACTTTTGGAAAAAACATGAATTTGATCATTTCTGTGCAAAAGTCTTGAGCCAACCCTCATTTCAGTGTCTTTTTACTTCCAAGAAGCCATAGATATTTGTCGGTTTAAAAATGTTTTCCAGGATTTGCATTTCCTTTTAATAATTACTGCTGATGTCTCGTGTTGTTTAATGTACTGCAAAAATACATTTGAAACCATGTTCAAGCACATGTTTAATGACAGTTAATACCACTGGCTGAGACTGACAAAAATTGCTATCTTGGTATTTTTGTTCATTCAGATAAAAAAATAGATTTTGATCTAACCTAACTTATACATTCTTGCATTATCTGTGTGTACTCAAGGTTATTTCAGTTCTACAGGAACCAAGAAAGGGTAGAACACTATAGGACAATATATAGGTCTTTAGATGTTTATCTCCATGACATTTAAATTCCTCATATGTGCATGTAATGAAAGTTAAGAAGTGAAGTGAAATGAAAATATAGCGCGCATCCTTTTATTGCTTTGACAACTACCTAAAGAACCAAGGTTTTCTCAGTTGCAGTTTCTGTTCATGTATCCTCACATCTCCAGTTGTCACGTCTTTCCTGCGTGAAACTGAAGTATAAAATACCTGAGAAAATGGAAAAGGTATATTAGCATAAAGCACAGAGCTGAAACGTTGTTTCAGGTCACCTCCACATTTTAAATCAATGTGTGTCTTATACACAAACCTGTTGTTTTATTAAGAGGGACGTATTTTAGCTGTATTCATTGAAAAGTGTAGAAAGCCCCGTTGCAGAATATGATTTCCTGTTTGTGCAATGACTCACTCTAGTTGTTCAGAGTGCTCTTGGGTCGTAATATATTCAATAGGCAAAGAAAAGAATCATGCAGTATATTTAAACTCATGCGTCAAAACATTCCTCCAGTGATGACCTCCTGCAGGTTTTGTTGTGTTGCTTTTCAGCTCAATCAAAGTGAAGATTTCTTCCTGACTTGCAATAAATAATCAAATGCTTTTATGTTTTTTTGCTGTCAAAAGTACAAATATGTAATCTAGGCTGCAAAAGCTGTGTTTTGGTCTTTTTATGGCTTCAAAAATAAAAATCATCTGTTAGCAGGGATAGCAAGATGTTGGAATTTTCTAAGTTTGTTCGATGCTTTTCTTTGTACGCTTCAGGATTAGAGCTTTCTTCACTCGTTGGCCAAACTGAAAATACCACAATGAACGACGAAGCTGTTTTACAAACGGTTCCTGAAAACCCCGTCCAGAAAATCTCTTCCAGTAAGTCGATTTGTAATTTACAACGAAGCTTTCGGGCCATGCTAAGAAACAAAATAAATAAAAATTACATTGCCACGCTAAGAAATGAAAGATTAAAAGCCATAAAATTACGAGAATAAGCTCATAGTTTTACGAGAATAAAGTTGAATAAAGTCCTAATATTACAAGAATAGAAGTCGTACGAGACTTTTTTTACAGCTCTCGTTTATTTATTTATTTTTTCCACGAGTCGGATCTACGGCGCAACCTGTCAATCAATCCAGTAGATGTGTCAGCAATTAACCGATCCGAAGCTAAATGAGCCGTAATATTATCCAAACTCCGACACATAAAGCAGGTTTACAGTGAATGTTGAGCATCTTGTTAAGTTATACTTTGGTATTGGTTTTACAAATAAGGAGTTAATCTGTCAGCACATCAGCATCAGATTATTATCAGTATCAGGACTTTGAACCTGATTACAGTAAGGTGGTACGCTCTGATGGGCTGCAGCAGCTCTGCAGGTAAAGAGCATTGAGCTTCGGATTGGTCATCTGCTGACACGCCTACTGGATTGATTGACAGGTCGCATGTGGATCCGATTTGTGGGGGGAAATAAAAATAATTAAACGAGAGCTGTAAAAAAAAAAAAAACATCTCATACAGCTTTATTCTTGTAATTTTATGGCTTTTATTTTATTTTTTTCTTGGTGTGGCCCTAAAGCTCCATTTTAGTAATTTGTTACAATTTTATTTTCGCAAAGCAAAAAAAAAAAAAAAAATCACGTTTTGTTTTGTGTTGTTCCTAGATGAGCCATGTCTGGGGGACAAATCAATTTTCTGTCAAATGGAAGTCCTTGCTCGTTACTGTTCCATCCCTGGATATTATAAACTTTGCTGCGAGTCGTGCAACAAGAGAGCAGATTTTACTACAGATGATCCAGATGTTCACAATACAGAACCCAAAGCCTCTGGTCTCATTCATTCTGCCTCATCCAAAGCTTCGTGGCTAGCCACCACAGCCCAGACCCAGCCAAAAACCACTAAAGCCATGAGACGGCTGTTCTCCACCACCTTTGCTCCGACCATCGCGGCTGACGCTCAAACGCCGTCACCAACAGAGGCTGTTCGCCTCCAACGTCCAACCACCCACTCTAATCCAACAGACGGGAGGAGAGAGCCCGATGTGGAGCCTCGTCCACCTCCAGGGCCAACACGACCCACAGCAGACTCTAACGAAGGAGCGTCCAAAGAGCACAGTCCAAAGAGCACTTTAGGCCCTGTCGCTGCCAGGTCAAGAAGGGACATTACAAGATCTAAGAGGGACTCAAGTCACAGAACCAGGTCGGCTTCAAAATGAACAGTGAGCAAGGCTTGCGGAGTGTGCTGTGCGGTAGGACTGTCTCAGAGAAACAGCTCACTTCTCTATTTGTTTTGCAGATATAGTTTTTTCAGCATGTTTTCTCCATGCCAGTGAACCCAGAGAAGCCCAGTGATTACCTCGTCAGAACTCCAGAGCGTATGCTTCAAACATGAACCAGAAATTGACAAAACAAAGGTGCTGTAAACTAAACAGACGGCGCGATGCGTTCAAAATGTGATGACTGCGTAGCTGCAGTCATGTTTTTTATCTGTGTACAGTTGTGTAAGACTTTTTTCTCAAGTGCTTTAGAACTACTATTGAACTTGGATTGTGAACATGGAGGTGATCACGAAACATTCTTCAGTGTGCCACCAGACCGGTTACTGACCTTCTTTAGTTTAGCAAATTAAACACAAACTTTATTTAGTAATATAAATTTTAAATTAATTACTCAAATAAATTAGTTCTAAAATAAATTGGCCATTAATAGCCAAACTAAGCGCAAGATTCGAACTTCTCACAAAAGTCCCTACAAATATTTTTGTCTCGTTTTTTGAGTTTTTCTCGGATTCCGTTTTTTTTTTTTTTTTTTTTGCAAGCGCTAAATTAAAAACGGTTCTCAAATGTACAAATAAAGAAGCGTTCATTTCACAGTTTTGACTTATGCAAATTTTAGGTGCAAGAAATGTTATATACACTTATTAGATTTTTTTTTTCTTCTAGTTTTACATTAAATCAGTACCGTACTTGCCGCCGTACTCGTCGCACCGCCGTATGAGTCACATCTATTATACGTCACCGCTGACCACCCGGAAATGTGGGCCGGTGTTGTGCCAAAAATCGATTGGCTGCCAAATGGCAGCCACGGGAGCATGCACAGGAGGACGTTAACAAGAATTTATCCAGATTAACACTTAAAAACAATTACTTGTTTGCTCGAAATTATAGTAAATGTGTGTCTCAGTCTAACTTTTCCTTAATAAATGCATTATATTGGTCAAATCAGCTGCATTTCAAAAATCGAATCGTGGCTGCTGGAGTGCGCAGAGGGAGGACTCGCTGTGCATTTCTTCGAAATTAATTTAGAAAAAATAAGAAACAAGATAACTGCCTAAAAACAATTATTTGCTTGCTCGACATTATAGTAAAATTGTGTCTCAGTTGAACTTTTCCTTAACAAATGCACTTTAATGGTCAAATCAGCTGCATTTCACCTGGGCGTCGTGGCGGAATGCAGCTGAATTAACGTTTGTTCCAGGAGTTTCAAAGCGAGCCAAAGGTGGCTTTGTATGGCAAGCCAAGTGCTTCATTAATAGTCATTTTTAACTATTAATGAGACACTTGGCTTGCCATATTACTCCACCACTGAAAATGGCTGAAAATGGTAGTGTTCAATATTTTTCAGATTCATATGTCAGAATGAATGAAATCATCAGATCTCAGCCAAAAATCGATTTATGAATATGAGTAAAAAAACGTAAATTAGTCGCTTTGGTGTATAAGTTGCAGGACATGCAAATTTATGCAAAAAAGGTGCGACTTATATGGTGAAAAATACGGTAATTATTTTAACTGTGTTATGATGCACCGTTTATCTTTATCTAAACATCTAGCACAAAAACAGGTTTTTTTTATGGTTGCCAAATTAGTTTTTCAAACATTATTGAGTTCAGTGCTACTCAGTCCTTTTTGTTTAGATCAGGCTATTCAACTGGTGGCTCGGGGGCCAAATCAGGCCCACGGATGAACTCAGTTCAGGCCACTATTGGTTCTATTTTTAAATAAACCTAGGTTTTAAACCATAAAACAAACTTACTTACCATAATACCAATAACTGCTGGATGTCCAGCCCCTGAGCTCTTGGCTTTCAGTAACTGTGGTCCCCTGAGCAATTAGTTGAATAGCCCTGGTTTAGACCACCGTATTTTTTGGACTATAAGCCGCAGGATTACAAGGCGCAATATCAACGAACGGGTCTATTTTCATACATAAGGCACATTAAGTGTAACAAAACAGTCAGATAAGTCGAACTTTATTCAACTCATTCACAATAACTCTCAACATTGTTCAGTTGTACCACATAAAATCAGTCTGAGGTCAGTAAGCACAACCAGAATTAATACATTAGGCGCACCGGATTATAAGGCTCACTTTAGATTTTTGAGAAAATTAAAGGATTTTAAGTGTGACTTATAGTCCGAAAAATACGGTAATCAATTATAACCAATTGATTGTGAGATTGTGATGCATTTATACTTTTAATCCCATATGTCTAATCTTAATCCTAGGCAAAATCAGACGGCAGTTTGCTTTATATTTATTATAAGAGACAAACTGAAGAGCGGCCATGTTTTCCTTCATTTCAGTCAGCCAAGTGCTTGAATATATCAAATTTGAAACTGCCCCTCTTATCCAAGCTACGTTTGTCATTTTGCATTACTTTATAATTGATTACAACAAGGCACTTGTAAAGTCTGTAATCTTGTCTAGTGGTTCACTGATGAGTTTAATGGTCATCCCTCTTGGCAGGGAGCTTCATGGCTTCTCGGTCTCCGGTGCTCTTTTTTTTTAATTGTCAAAGCCTAACACAAAAGTGAATATCCTCACTGGTAAATAATAAAAATGTCTGTTTGCAAGCCAACCCCTCATGTACTGTAACACGGCCTTTGTTGTTTTGTCAGTGTTTGTCACCTAATGTTTTAAAAACTGGAAGAAAAAAAAAATCTGAAAGTAAAAACGTTAGGATATTTTTGTAACTCGTTCACGTTTCGGATCATGTACATAGTGTAAATTTCAAGTTATGGAAGTTGCGATTAGCGGGGAACAAAAAGTATCAACCTAAAATCTTCAGTTTGACTGGTGTGTTACACACTTCCTGCTTCCTGTTAAAGAGTTTCATTGTATAGTTCTACATACGGACATGAATGAAAACTTTAAATGATATTTATTGAATTTCTAAATGATATGGTGAGCAAATTAAAATACATTTGGAAGAACAAGGATCCTCATTATTTCTCTGTCCTTCACTGAGCTTCTTTTACTGCTTTCATTATTTATTTTGGTGCTTCTGTGCAGATCTCATTTGAATAGGTGATTAGTTCTAAGTAGATGATGCATAGTGATTTGCTGTAATTTAATTATAGAAGCCAAATGCTATATCTGGTATTGTAGTAAAACTAGAGGACAGAGTGAGATGGAGGAGGATGACTCGCTGTGGCAATCACTGAAAAGCCGAAAGACGAGTAAAAGTGTTGATATGAGCAGTAAGTAAAATAGATCAGTCAAATTAAGCACATTTAAGCACTTTATTATTCATATTCAGCCGCATACAAGGTGTCATGTATCAATAGACAAGTGATGACTCTTGAACAGGAGCGTTTGTTGAGGTTTAATTTGCACAATCTGACATTAATTCCTATTGTAAACCAGCTTCCTTCTGCCAGGCTGGAACTGGTTTCGGCTGACTCGCTTGTGTCGAGCATCTTTTCCGAGGCAGCGTTTCTCTCCAGAACGGTAGTCCTGTGTCGTCTATACCCCCATCTCCCATTCTTCCTCTGTGAGCGATGACAAAGTGTTGCTGCAGTGAGGCTGTCAGGACGACTCGCTTCACCTCAGGCTGAGATGTCTGCGGAGGTGGCGCGTGAAAGCCAGTTGTGCTTGAGGAAGAGCATGATTGACAATGGATGTTGGCAGCCAGCCCTGTGAAGAAATGTATTTGTTACAACCATGGAGTGTAATTTTTGCGCATTAGTTTTGCTAAACAATGGAGGATTGCTCCTCCGCTGGCAATAAAAAGACAAAAGGGCTGCTCATATGCAAAGATGCTCCTTGAAGAAATAAAAGTATTTCCAAAAAGAAGAATGCCCACGAACAGGTTTCCCCAAGCTTTAAATCACATTGAATAGATGTAAAAGGAACAAGGGAACAAAAAGGAGCATTTATTGTTTAGCATGATAACTTCATAAAGTCCAAAAGTTTAAAAAATGAAGATAGAAAACCATCACTGACAAGCATTCAAATTGTGTCTCTTCTTTTTCTATTACTCAACTTCATATCTGCATGAGCGTTACCCATCCTTCCAGCATCCTTGGCCTCCTCTGGTCTGATCCCATATCTCAATCACCAACATACTCAAATGTGATAAAATGGTCTTATCCTGTAGCCAACCGCTTATCTCAAAAATGTGCATTCCACATCCAGGCGAGCCGAGGCTTCAAGTTTTTGTTGTGGGAAAATACGACCAGACTCCTGAAGGTTTACCCATCAGGATTTGAGCAAGTTTGAAATATTAGAATGAAATTCTATTAATCCTTATCCAAATCACAACCCAAATCATTTCAGCATTCTTCTCTACTAAAACACTATTTTCCATTGTTTAGTAGTCGTTTTGTTGCACCTGGTATGCACTGCTTAATGTGAGAGGTTTGTTTTTTTTGTCAGAAATAATAATGTTCATTTGTGAAGCAAACATGTTCATTGAGATAAAAAGTACTTTGTACATATTAACGATTTTTGTGTTACTCATGACAAAATGAAGTTACCTTTATGTCCATGTTAAGAAGCCATGTGAAGCTGCTTTTTGTTGTGTCCTTGTCCAGAGGCCGAATAATGATGCAGGTTGGTCTATCCTCAGCTCTGTGGATATTAAAAAATCATTACCTCTTGGGCTAAATTAATTACCGTATTTTTTGGATTATAGGGCGTACTGGATTATTAAGCAAAACTAAAACATTTTGACAGATTTTTGAGCACCGTGCACCACATAAAATCAGTTTGAGGTCAGTAAGCACAACCAGAATTAATACATAAGGTGCACCAGATTATAAGGCTCGCTGTTGATTTGTGAAAAAAATTAAGGATTTTAAATTTCTTTGTTGAAATCAGGTCTCTCTTGTAAATGAGTCCTCGAGGCTCAATGGGATTTACCTGTATAAATAAAGGTTGATTGATTGATTGATAAATGCACCTTACAGCCCAAAAAATATGGTACAAGTTATAACATGACTTCTTAGCTTAATACAACTTTCTTATATAAACTTTAGCTCTATTTGTTGCCACCACACAGAATAAAGAAAGATAATTGTATTGAATATAATGTGTTGATACCATGTAAATATAATCATGTCAACATTTTTTATAGTTGATTTTTAAACATACCTTGATGTTTGGTTAAAACTGTGTAGTGTTGCTTGTGTCAGCTTTCAGAGTATGTGTTTTGAACGACTCTTGGCTACTTCCCCATCAAATATGAGCTCAGTCTGTAAAATTGACTCAGTTATAGCCATTTTTGTATTTGATGATGTCACTTAGCTGTGGCTATCGTGAACTGGATTTACCAGATGTATTTTACGTTTACTTTCTAAGTGTTCCAGTTAAATCTGTTGAGGGGTTCGAGAGACGTGATACTATCTCATCCCTGAATATGACTGGTGATGTTTGGCTGTTCAGATCTGTCAGCTCTGCAGGTGATCCCGTACCTCACAAAGCCCGTCTGAGGTGGGAACGACTCCAGCTGAATCGCCGCTCCTCCGAGATACACGCAAGAGTCTTGTTTGCAGCTGTGTCTGACACTCAGGAAATCCCTCTGGCCCATGACGTTCCCTGCCATCTCAGCCGTAACCTCATGTGTCACCACGGTTTCAGGACCGACTTGTTTCAGAACCTGCGAGAAACCAATTTAAGCAACGTTAGTTCTTTCTAAACTCAATGTGCAACCTGAGCAGCATGAAGTTTAGGGTTTCTGACACATTTTTTTTAACAAGTTTGAGAGTACATGTATTGCTACAGATCCATTCAAAATTAATGAGTGAACGAGCTGTGATCAGAACTACAATGAAACGCGTCTAAATATCATAAATGGTCTCTCGTAGCTTGTCTAAATGTCATTAGCTCACTTTGATTTGTTGTATGTTTGGGTTCCACCGGGGCATCTCTTCAACTCGGACAAACAACAGGTCATAGAGCTCGTTCACACTGGCCTCCAAGACCGCCTCTAACTTGAACACCGTCCCGGTCCCTGCGATCACTTTGCTGTAGATCACGTCCCCGTTGTTCTGAAGAGGGGAAAACCACACGTTAAGTAATGGTCTGGCTTATTTAACAGAGAGTGAAACACTAAAAAAAACAAAGTAGCATATGTGTTACCTCTTCGATTTCAACCGTCCATTCTCCTCTATCATCCAGTATGCTGAGCGCCTTCATCATTGCTTCCCGTCCGTGTTGGACATAGAACAGCTCATCTTCATTTACCGACTTGGATTTTTCTTTAGGTTCTGCAAGAGACTCCTCTCAGTAAAAAAAAAAAAAATCACTGTGTGCTTTACATACCCTACTGTGGCAAAGATATGATATTTTCTTACCAGCGTGTGCTCCCATGAGATGCTGGATTCGTCCCCATTGCTTCAGGTGTGTGATCTCCTGGCCTATCACTGCAACAGCCGTGCGCTGAAGTCCTGCACGATTGAGAGAAAAATCCCACTCAGAATGCAACATCTTTAAAGAAAGAGGAACAGCCTCTGCCAGATTGTTTTTACTTGTGTTTACCTGCCATACTCCTGAGGTGTGGGTAGGAGATTCCACAGCAGAGCTTCACAACAGCAGGCAGCATGTTGTCTGTCTTCAACAGTGACAGCAAAGAACTAGAAGATCTGCTCTCGTCTTTATACTGCCTGTGAAGGACACTCCAGGGAGATAAGGAGAAAAGATAGGACCAGTTCTGGATTCTGTCCCTGAAGGCCATGTTTGACAAGAGTTTTAATAACCAAAACAGATGATTGGATTCAAGGCAGGGAGGAAAAGATGCACAAAAGACACAATGTGAGCTTTTCTTTTTTGGAAGGGGGATCTCTGCGAATCAAATGTGATTGTTTTCACATGCAATTATATGCATTTTGCTCGACCACCATGCTGAAGTGTTTTATATTCAAAACCCAACACATCTAATCAGCATCTCCCTGGCAAAAGCCTGGATGTTGGCGATGTCATCATGTTGGAATATTTTGTGCAAGGGCTTGAAATTATAATCAGAACTGAAGAAATTAAAGATTGGGTTGAAAATGAAGAAAATAATTGAGGACGATCTGTTACAGACTTCCAGAGAAGTGAGCCAGCAAAGCGTTTTGGAAAGCGCTTGTAAAGCCCAGTCTTCAGTCGGACACAGATGATCACTGAGCACCAGCAGAACGCCTCCAAGGAATGATACAGCTTTGTAATCGTCTTAGTTGTGTGTTACCACTTGACACCTTCTAGTGGCACGTCAACTATTTGGATTATATTACAAAAGAGCAATTTACTTGGAAAAATTGTCCATTCTTTTGCTTTCTCAACAATCAATTTCTGTTGAGTCAGTTCCTCTGAGGTCATGTTTTCCAACTGGAAAAATGGAGTTTCAGTTTCTGGAAGTCTTGTTCATAAGTAACGGTAAGTCGAAGCAGGAGATGAGTCGACAGATTGGAGCATTGTCCACCCTAATGAGGGAGTTACTCCAGTCCGTTGTGGTCAGTGATGTAGTCTACATTTTTGTAGTGGTTATACCGCGGTAAAGTTAGTTTTACGTTGGACACCACTGAAGCCACGAGAGCGCGAATGTCCAACGCCCAATGTAAAACTCACTTTACCGCAGTCGGTTCGTATACTGTGCTTAGAAACCAGAGTACACTGCTTAGTACAATGTAATTGTCAAATTATTTTGATTTTTAAGCATATTGAACATTTCCAAATTTATCTGATGCTTATATTTGAATATATGAACAACAAACTTTGTACAACAGTTGGCTTTGTGTTAATTATACAATAATTCGCTGGATAAGCAAATGTACTGTAATTAAAAAGCGCTGTAAACTGATAGATTGTTATGGAAGTGTTTAACTGCCATTTAACATAGCAATGACACGTGCCTAATCATATGCCATGTATCATTGGGCACTTTTAAGTGGGTATACTGAAATTCTTAAGCCTTTCTAGTGGGTATACTCTGTAAACCCGCGTATTGCGTAGACTACACAACTGGTTGTGGTGAAGAAGGAGCTTAGTTGAAAAAGAGAGCTCTCATTTCACTGATCAGTCATCATTCCAACCCTCACCAATGGTTGAGATGTAGGGTAGACCCCAGAGCTCAAGTTAGATACTCAACATCTGTTCTTGGTTGCAGGTTCCTCAAAAAAGAGTTTGATTGGTCTCATTTGACATTCTCTGTTGCACTTTTGACATCATAATCAAAGATTACTGAAAAATTCAAATGAAAAATGTATTTTATATTTAACATATCATCTTGTGGGCCAGATAAGGTGTCAACAAGGGTCACATTTGGCTCCCGGGCCTTGAGTTTGACATATGTGTCCTAAACAATGTTGCATGGGAAACCTGACCATGGGTGAGTAGAAGAAAATGGAAGGAAAACTAGATGTATGGATGAAGTTGTTTATGAATTTTAACCATGTTTTTTCTTTCTGCTGCGCCATTTTTCAGGGGTTGCCAAGTGAACTAACTTGCACAAAGTCATGGCAACTGTTTTTACATCAAATGCCCTTCCTGACGCAACCACAGACCACCGAGCTACCTCATCCCTGCCTTGAGAACTGCCATGTAGGATAACCGGGGGAGCAGATGGTGGGGGTTAAGGGCCTTGCTCAAAGGCCCAGAGTGGGGTATATGCAGGTGTGGATGCTTCAGCTTTCCTACTAACATTTTGATGTTGTCAGTCCAGGGAGTCGAACCGACAACCTTCCAAACACATGTCCACCTTCTCTAACCTCTTTGCTTTCTTTGCTTGACCCCCCCACCAAAAAAAAAAAAAAATTGTTTTGTGATGCATTCATCCATTCATTGTTACCTGTATCTTTTTGTTAAATGTATCAGGCCTGTGTTAAATGTTGAATTTTACAACAACAAAAAAAAAAATCAAGCTTTTAGGGAAAAGACCTACTTTGGAAATTCAGGTGGACAAAGCCCTAAAACAATCCTTACAAAACATGACAGTTTAATGTAATCACTGCTTCAATAGGCGGCTTTTTAAAGCAGATTGCCGGCACATAATTTAAAAAGAAAATAATTATTTTCTTCTTCAGTTTGCATTAGTTACTTTTTCAGTTGCTTAATGTATAAAATTCTCATTTGCTCTCCGTTTTTTTACTTCTTTTTTTTTTAGATAGACGGGTGAAATTTAGTTCCTGTGTATGTGTGTGTGTGTAGGGGGGGTTGTTAGAAGAATCAGTCATATCTGCAAACTATTTGGTAAAGCGCCCAGCACCGCCCTCTTGTCTCCATGCTGCCCTGCAGAAAGTATTGCTGACAGAGCGCCAACAAACGCCTGCCTCTTATCACCAAAAGCCAACAGGTGTCCTTGTGAGAAGGATTTGTGACGTGAAAGTTGAACTTCACCTGCCGACCTGTCCAGCTAAACTCAAACTGGAGTCACGTGTTAGGAAATAGCCTGAATGACCTTTGATACCTCAAATCTGACCTCCGTTTTAGTTTTACCGCTCCAAAACGAGGAATAGCTTTTCAAAAATGTCATGCAAAATGTATTTTTATTACGAGTTGGTCATGGGTTGCAAAACTACATAGGCAATAGTTTTCTTCAGTGTTTAACTAAAAAATATTTCAAAGCTGCAGTATGAATTATAGGACAAGTCCATTTGTGGAGGACATGAACTAAACACAAGTAAGTTTTATGTCCTCAAGGCGAGGCATACATTTAAATTGTTCAAGTCATTTACATTTCATAACACAAGAAACAAATGAAAAGAAAATGAACAGTGTTGGTGTATAAAATCCATGATAACTCCAGCTTTTAGAAGTAAAGTTATCACAGTTATCACAGTTGGAGGAGATTTCAGACCCAGAATGCAGACTTTGCACAATAAAAAACTTAAATAAAACAAAGTAATTTATTAAACAAAGAAGAAAAAAAAGCTGACGTGGCAACAAACTTACAAATACTCCGGAGGCAGAACTCAAAGAAAACAAGAGCATGGAAACCAACAATGCAGAACTGGTGAGTAACACAGAGATAAATACAGCAGAAGTAAAGTGGAGGCACTGCAAAGTGGGGACAGTTGAGAATAGGGTTAGGGTTAGGAGAGGCTGATTGAAGGATCACTGAGGAAGTAGACTGAGGGTGAAGGAGAAAAGACACAGGGAACTAAACACAAGAATCCCCAAAACAACTTTAACAACAAAGTACTAAAACGCAGAAGGGGAAAGATCTAAACTGAGAGAGCAAAGAACAGAATCCCAAAACACAGAAAGCAAAATCTCAAACACAAATAACCAAGAAACACAGATATGATAGAAGGAGGTATGTACATAATTTTGTTACAATGAGCAATTGTAACAAATTGTAACTGATTGTAATTGGTTGTCAATCGCAATCAGCTTTCTTTATTTCCTCTCCAAATAGCAACGATGAGGCTTGTCCACAGGATCTGCTATTGTACCAGTAATAATCTGAGTTTATTATGCATTCCACTCATTTACAAGGTTCCATAGAGTGAATAATTTTACAAAACATGTTGGTATATTAATAAAATAGCTTTGGTACATTTTAAATCCTTTCTTTCTGAAATTATTTTTCACTTTGATTTGGTTGTAGTTTAGTGCATTTCAGATTTGGGTGTTGCTTTGAGTGTTCTTTATGTTTTCATTTTAATTTACAGAAATAACTCCAAAAAGTTATCCACTGGCACATATTTCTTTATATGATGGAAAACATTGACAAGTTTTGAGTCAGGAAGACTAAAAATTGTGTGTATTTTCAGTTGTAGCATTCAACACTTGCTCTTGTCAAGGGCAGACACCTTCTCCTCCTCTCCCTCTCCGCTTTGTTTTGCTCTGCTCTGTCCTGCCTGTGAAACTGCTTAGAGCCTCTCTTCTACAAATCTTCTGAATCTTGATTCTGCTATGGATTTGGTCAGTTGGTCCCTATCTCATCGACTTGGAAGACTTGATGATGTGTCTATCTCTGCTGTCATTTGTGGATTTTAAGGACAGATTTATAATTGGATTTATGATAACTTATTTCCTGCTTTTTGGATTTGGCTTGTTCCTGGTTTATCTACAATCAAGGAAGTTGTCAGCAGCAAATTTGGACCTGGTCAGGCTGCTTGCCTTATCTGATGGCTTGGTTCGTGCCTCGAGCGCCCAGACTCAAATACTTTTGGCAGGATGGATCAGATCTCAGGGATTACTCTCAGGCATGCTCCACTGGTGTGGCCATTTAATTTGGACATTTCAGAACCGAGTGGACCGGCACAGACTCAAGGCAAAAGTCAGTAAAAGTTCTGCCTTTCCCCAAAACAATCGTGTTTATCTGAATTTGGTTCCCTGACTGGCCTTGACAGGTCATCTTATCTTAATTCGCCTGGAAGTTTTGTAAACCTGATGTGCCCCCCCCCCCCCCAACTCCCAACTGAGGAAGTATACGGACCAGTCAGAGTGGCCCAGCTGAATAAGCATTCTGTTATCATTTCAGGACTCTTTGGATTTGTCCTTGGTTGTCCTCGACACCCCACGAGTGTGTACAGATCTCTCCAGAGGGAACTATTTGAACTGAGTGATTTTATCTGAACTCTACAGTGCCTCTGTGAGTTGTCTCTGGACACCGCCCTTGCATCCCACCCCCCACCCT